ACCCTGACACTACCCCCGAGCCAGTGATGATGTTCGTCCATAAATATAATATGTAAGTACACATTTAGTTTTATAATTATTGTATTATTCGTAGATTAATTAAATTGATTATTAAGTTAAATTGAAGTATTTATTATATAAATAATATACTAAAACTATATACCTAAGAATTAGGCATATACTTAGGTAGAAGCTTATACTTGTATTTTTATTGTTATTACATAACTATAAACAAACTAATTAAGATTAAATATAAACTTATTTTTTTATTACACAGTTTGTGTAGTATTGCCCAAATTGGTGCAAAGGATCCTTGACGGCGCATCCAAGGAGGGGGGGGGGGATAACGTTCCTTCTCCCCCCATGGGTGCGCCCATGGTCTTGTCACAAATCTAATTACATTTTTCGTACCAAAACCAAAGCCAAAACTTACAAAAATATCCAGCATTTTGGTCAGGATACGGTAAATATGTTAAAGTATGAAATTTTAACACTTAAATCAAATATTACAGCCGTATAGCCCAAACGCTAAGTTATACAAATTTGGCGTTTTTTTTGAAATCTTTATGTTCGAATTAGTCAAAAGAGACACTAAAATTAAACAAAAATATTTAAATAAATTTGTGAAAAATTTTAACCCCTTAAAAATTAAATAAGGGCTGCAACCCTACCCCAACGGGTGAAATTTTAGGTGCTGTGGGTAAAATAGCTTAAAATGGCCTATTAAACAACTGTGCCAAGTTTCATGCTTTTAACCGAATTTGCTACGTTTTTTTATTGACCGCATGTACTATCAGTGGGTCGTCTAGCCCGCCTGGTTGGCTTAGGCCGGGTAGAGGCACCTGTAGCTTGTGTAGCCTGTTGGACCTAAAGCCTAGAGGTAGACTACCGACCATTACTAGAGGAGGTGATAGCTTCTGTGCCACTCTTTAGGAGGCTGGTCTCGTGTAAGTGTCAACTGCCTCTCCAGTAGTTTTCTTTGGGGTTGGAATTTCGGTGAAGAATATAAAGGGGCAAAAAAGAAACTCAAGGAGGAGATTGCAAGAGTCAAAAAGCAAAAATGGAAAGAACTGTGCGACGAACTGAACGCGGATGTGTGGGGAAGAGCATACAGAATAGTTACCAGGAAGTTTATGAATAGGGCTAGAGTTCCTATCCCGGCAGATGAAGTCAGAGAACAAGTGAGGGCTCTTTTCCCAACGAGACCAGACATTGAATGGGGTAACTTGAATATACCTACTGAGGAAATGCCCATTTTTACTACGGATGAAATTTTAAGCGCTGCGCGTAACATAAAGAATGGCAAAGCGGTAGTAGGTTTGAACGGAATATCTGGAGAGGTTAAAAGCAGCAGCTTTGAAGGATCCGCAGTCCATTACTAGCGTTATGAATTGGTGCTTAGTCCGGGGCCAATTTCCGACATTGTGGAAGGTTGGAAAGCTGGTTTTGATCGAAAAGCCCAAAATGGAGAGCTCGTCTGCGATAAACTACAGACCAATATGTCTACTTAATGCCAGCGGAAAACTCTTTGAGTTCTTGAAACAAACTAGACTGGAGACTGAACTGGAGGAAAACGGTAGACTGTTCGATAGGCAATTTGGATTCAGAAAGAGCAAATCCACAATAAATGCTCTTAGCATAATTATGGACAAAGTCGACCTGCTAAGGCAACGCAACTGGAAGAGTAGGGGATACGTAGCTCTCCTCACGTTGGATGTGGAAAACGAATTTAACTCTGCTCCCTGGCAGGGCATTATAGACCAATTGAAGTTAATGGGCATTGGCAGGTACTTAATTAGGGTAATCCAGTCCTACTTATCATGTAGGAAAATGGAGGCGGAGGACGACCAAACCTATAAAATGAGTTGCGGGGTTCCTCAGGGATCAGTACTCGACCCGACACTGTGGAACGTCTTCTACGACCAGGTGCTGAGGTTGGACATTGACATTGATTGGAGATTCTTGCTTACGCAGATGATCATATGTTAAAAATAAGAGTGCAGACTGCGGTGCTGATAATCCTAAACAGGCTGGATAGCATGGGTAGGTCATTGATATTTAGTATAAACTTACTAAACGTTTTTGAATCTTATTTTTATTATTTTTTTGTTTTTTTTTATTCTTTGAAGTTTATAAATGTTTATTTTAAACAATAAGACTGACATTGTTATTTGTATAATGTTTTGTATTCTCTTCTCTCTTTTGTTTGTTTATTTTGTTTGTTTACTTTGTTTATTTACTTTACCTTTGTCTACAAATTGCAAACATTTTTGACAATAAAGGCATTTATTTATTTTATTTATTTATTTATTTATCAGGTTAGCAACAGAAGACTGAGTTGCTTGCTTTGGTGGGACAACGGAAATTAGAAGGCTGGAGCGCTGATATAATCGGAGTAACTATTATGCCCTGCAAAGCTGTAAAGTACGTGGGAGTGTGGTTGGACAGCGGTCTACGTATAACCACCCACGTTCGTAGAATAGTAGAAGAGGCCACACGTGCAACTAACACTCTGTCGCGAGTAATGCCCAATGTTGGCGGACCTAGAGGAGAAAGAAAGTAGAAAGAGGAGAACGATGGCATCGGCCTTGACTTCTATGATATTTATGCCGCTCCAATTTGGAGAAGAGCTATAAAATATCAACACTATCAAAATATGCCGCAATCTATGATTAGGAGATTGACCTTACGTATTACGAGCGCCTACCTCACTGCGCCGACAACGGGAGTACTGGCATTGGCTGGTGTCATGTCTATTGTACACCAGGTAGAGGAAAGATGCGATACCTACTAGCTGGGCAAGGAACATAGGATGCAAGTAAGAGAAAACATCTTGATGAAATGGCATTGAGATATGATGGCTGGGCAAAAAAATTTATGGAAAATGTGGCAGAGTGATACAAGAATGAATGGGTGGAAGTATACCCCTTTCTTACTCAAGCTATCACAGGTCATGGGTGTTTTTGGCACATACCTGAAAGGGTTGGGCAAAAGAGCCAGCGATCGCTGTGTGTACTGCCAGGAGCAGGATACTCCTGCGCACACTCTATTCTAGTGTGGAAAATGGAGGGAATTTAGGGACGCGACAGAAGCAAGGTGCGGTCACGCTGGATAATGTTGGTAACTTTTTGCGGTACCTCTTATATTTTAATCTTATATTTTAGTCTTATAAGACTTTTTTAATCGACCATTTCCATATATTATATCAGCGACACTGTATATATCTCAACTTAAGAACTTTTATTTTTTAAGATTTTATCAGACGACATCCAAAAAATGACAGAAAATTCAATTTACCTGTGAATTATAATGACAGACAACGACTGAGTAAGAGTAACACTCTGAGGTATCCTTGCGCTGGACAGACTATATGTATATATACTTTTAATAATCATTATTATTCTATAACATCTATAATAGTCCATTGACACACCATGACAAAAAAAAAACAGTTATATTTAAAAACTGAAATTACTAAAGGTACATTCAGGCTGGGAGCGTCACCGCAGCGTCATATGAGCTGGTTCTTTAGGCTTTGAATTTGTAAAATGGCTTCAAGGAGAGCAGTTTGTCTAATGTTACTATTGGAATCATCATATTTTACATTCAAAAGAATGGAAAAAAAGTAGGAGTTCACCCTATAAACAAACAATATTATCTGCATAGAGAATTTCATCATCTTGGAATTTACTCGTACTGTAAAAAATACTTACTAGAAATACCTAGACTTGTAGCTATTTCTTCAAGTAGTCTGTACTGAGGCAATTGTGCGTTCCACAGTGCAGATCTTGCCTGTATTTCGGCGATTAGCACCTCTGCGTGCTGCTTCTCAGACGCCATGACAACCATAGAACGCTAGCAATCTCGCCGAAAAACAATTGAGATCGAACTCGACGCTTTACGCTCAGCGGACGCTAGCGCAACGCCGAACGCGACGCTTTCTGCCTGAACGGTCTAATTTAAGTTGAGGAAATTGATTCCATTTCGTGGCGACTGAATGTACCTCAAACACGTACAGGATGATTTTTAAATAAGCGCAAATATTATTAGGGATGGTATATTTTGACCCTAGAAATACGTACTTCTTATAAATTATTTTTTTATTGAAACAATTTTTTTGAAAATTTAAAATTTTCCGATTTAAAAAAAAATTATTCGTAGTCAAAAAACATAATATATTAATAATATGGCAACATATTTATGTTGTAGATTACATTTAGAAGAATAAAAATTCATAAGAAAAAAACAGTGCTTCTGAAAATTTCACCCAAACATATCTTTTTTTTTAATTTCCAAAGCAAAATAACTCGGTTAATTTAGACTTATTTAAAAAATGGAAAAGAGAAAATGCGTTTCTTTTATCGAGATGTACCAGTCTTGAAAATATTTGCACTTATTTAAGACTCACCCTAAATATAAATAATTTTAATATTATTTTTAGTTCCAAAAGGGCAAGTGGCATTATTGCTGCTATTTTTATTACTGCTAAAATATTCTTCTTGTTTTATAAAAAACTGGATAAATTAATGAATTGATTATCAGTTACAGTAATAGATAAAAGCAATTTTTTGTCCCCTGTTTAAGATGTTTTCTACACTGAAAAAACAAAACGTTTATCTTGAAAAATATGAAACCCAAGTTGAGTTCAAGTAAAAAAAAATCTAATATATTCACTTTGTTTAAATAATATTTTATAATAAAGTTCGCCTAGTTACAATAATTAATAATTCTAGCAAAAATGTCAATAATTTTTTTTGATGTATTTCAAATATACAAGTATTATCTATTTTTATTACATCTAAGCAAATTATCTATGAATTTCTAAACACAAAACTCCTAATTAATTCAAATCCATTTAAAACAATGCATTTGATGCTATATTACAAATATTAGTGCAATATCGTTTATTTGACGTTTTTAGAGTTGTTTTTTCAGTGTATATATGCTACGTTTTTTAAATGTGAGTGGGGGTAAGAGTTAATATTTTAATTAATTATATATTTGTTGATAAGCGGACAGTTTTCTGATATAAAAACTCATCTTTTATATGGATAAAGGACACTAACTTGAACGTTAGCAAGCATGAAGGTTCTTCTAGTATTGGCAGCAGTTGTGGTAGCAGCTTTGGGTAAGAATATTTACTCATCATTTTTTTTTGCTTAACTTAATTGTTTTTATTTAATAAGTCTTTCTCTGTCAACTGATATCAAGGACGCTATGAAGAGATTAGGAATAGGAAAATTTTTTAATTTATACAAGTACTATACATATATTTTAAAATATCATTAGCATTAACTCTGATTTTGGATTTGCTATTAAATTTTGAATTCTGAATCACTTATTATCATGCCAAAACTAATACTAATTTTTATTAAGCTACTGTCTTAAAAACTAAGGTAAATACATTAAGGTAAGGTAATCGTTTATGTTATTAAGAATGATGAGTCCTTATTTTAGTTCAATAGGGTTAGTCATATTTAGTCAATTAGGGTTATAATAACTGAGAGATGGTGCAGGACTGTCGGGCTGAGCATCAACTCCGGTCTCAAGCAGTTTATTTCCTTCTGTCAAAAAAGTAATTATTTGATTTTCATATATTATAAATACTGCTGCTAAAACTTTATAAAGTCTATTTATAAAAAATATTTCGCATTTTAGTAATATCTCATGGCAGTATGTCATGGCCAGATATAGTTTTACATCGTTTGACGTTTAAAGCTATTAGCACAGAATATCTAGCTACGCTATAATAACTTATTTTTCGTTATTCACAATATTATAGCCTTTAAACTAAATATTTGCTTAAAATCTGGTTCTTAACATGTTTTAAAACAAAACCCCATGCACAGTGAGAAAACCATAAAGAAGAAATCGCTCTAAATAACTTAGGTTATAGTATAATAAAATATTTCTTCTTCCACCACCAATTGTGGCTTCTAGCACAGAATATCTAGCTACGCAACAGAAAAATACTCGAAATGAAAGAGCTAAAATTGCACAAATAAAATACTAGATGGCGCGACAATATCATAATCAGAATATAATTGGAAATTTTCAACTTTCGGTTTTGGATCGACGGCACGTCGACGGCCTTGAAGCTCGGCTAAAAATGCACAGTTGCCAGATTCAAGCAAACTTTAATTGGCCTCCCATTCTTTTTCTGGTGTATAATAATTCCTTTCTATTCTTCGTTTCTTGTCAGATACACTTATATTAATTATTCGTTTGGCTTTTAAAATAGTTTTAATTTTAAGTATATTATTAGAAAACATATGCTCTCAAAATACATTTTTAATATACGCTACTTTATTATGTTAACTAAGAAAATAACTTTAACTACCTTTAAAATTAATAATATACAGAGCGATTGATAGTGATATTTATTAATGCTGAAACGTTAGTAATGAAATATACGTTTAATAATCATGGAAATTATTTATTAAAATGCAGTACAAAAAATGTTAATTGACTAAAAAAATACTATAATAACATTTTTTTTCTGTTTGCCACGTTATTTATATAGACCTAGGTAGATTTTAAAAAGTGACACAGGTACAATTAATAATATATTAGTTAGGCATAAAAGTTGCTGTCACGACATCGTACAATAAATTAAAATTCATAAAATAAATTAAAATTATTAATTAAACAAATCTTTATAAAGAAACACAAGTATATCAAATTTGGGCCCAATCGAACGCCAGGAAATGGTATCGTAATATGGTACTACATTATGGTACCCCTTGATATGCTTTATGGTACCATAATATTGCAATGTCATCAAAAATACGCAAGTATAATCAAATATGAGCCCAATCGAACGTCAGGAAGTGGTATCGTAATATGGTACTATATTAAGGTACCACTTTATATATGCATCATAGTAGATGACTCATAATAGTACCATCATATTACAATCGAACGCCAGGAAATGGTATCGTATATGGTATTATTATGGTACCTCTTGATATGCTTCATGGTATAATATTGCAATGTCATCAAAAATATGCAAGTATATATCAAATATGAGCCCAAATGAACGTCAGGAAATGTTATCATAATATGGTACTATAGAAGGTACCAATTTATATGCTCCATGGTGCCATCATATTACGATGTTACCGAAAATACGTAGTATACAAAGTTTAAGCTCAATCGAACGCCAGGAAATGGTATCGTAATATGGTACTACATTATGGTACCCCTTGATATGCTTCATGGTACCATAATATTGTAATGTCATCAAAAATACGCAAGTATAATCAAATATGAGCCCAATCGAACGTCAAGAAGTGGTATCGTAATATGGTACTATATTAAGGTACCACTTTATATGCATCATAGTTCTATCATATTACAATGTCACCGAAGATACTTACTATACCAAGTATAAGTCCAATCGCACGCCAGGAAATGATATCGTATATGGTACCTCTATCGTATATGGTACCTCTATGTACTATTATGGTACCTCTTGATATGCTTCATGGTACCATAATATTACAATGTCACTGAAGATACGTAATATACCAAGTTTAAGCCCAATCGAACGCCATGTATCATAATATGGTACTATATTACGGTATCACTTGATATGCTTCATGGTACCATAATATTGCAATGTCATGAAAAATACGCATGTATATATCAAATACCGTACGATACCGAAAAAAACGGCGTCCAGTTGGCTGGGAAAAGACGATCGATGACATTTCCCATATAAATTTACACATAAAATGATAGCGATTTTCAATTCATAGCCATCGCTAACGCCGTTTTTTCCCGATCATACGGTATGAACACAATCGAACGTCAGGAAGTGGTGTCGTAATAGTAGAACAATACTTATTATATTGCCGCCGAATTACAATCAAAATTCAGGATTCAGTTAGAATCAAACTTCAGAAAGTGATTTTAATTCAGCTCGTAAGATTTAACTCCAACTAACATGGCGAGTTAAATACTTAAACGTTTGAAAAAAGAGCTCTAATCTATTTTAATATGTTTAAATGATGTAGCAAATTTGAAGCTAAGCTTTATCAGGAAATATTACAATATAAATTACACAATGGCAACACTGCATAAAATTCTTTTAAATTTCGTTTGTAGAAAACTGTTTTCTTTTAAATTTATCGCCCTCTGTTATGTAGTAGCGAAACTACCGCATCAAAATATCTGATTTGGAGACAGGCTTTTAAAGCCTGTCTCCTTTTGAGACCTACGATTTTATACATGTAACGAGGCTTCTGTTGCGTAGCTAGATATTCTGTGCTATTAGCTACTGGCAGTGGCGTATTTACGTTTTTGCAGGGGGGGTTAAATAAAGAAAAAAATTGATCACGAAATAAAAAAGTACCTATAATTAATATCTTTGATAACAAAAAATAACTTACATGTATAAAATATGATATAAAAATACAAAACCAGATATAAAAATAAAAAACCAAACAAAAAGAATACAACTTATACAAAAATAATTAATAAAAAATAATCTAAATTACCTTGTGATACTATTCTAAAATTTTTTTTTAACATGTTCTAATTGAGAGTGCCAATCTACACAGTGTTTCAAAAAACATATGCCATCTCTCGTGGGGAGATTTCTCGCGTAAAAATAAGATTCATTTTTCATATCAATATAGGTCCCATTCTGCTTTGTTTCGTAGCTACAGGGTGTTAAATCTTAATATTTTTTCGATTTATTATAATTTTCTCCCAAGTACTTGTAGCGTTTCGAATGAAATTTTGAGGGTAAAAGTTACTATAAATGCGACATATTTTAAAGCTAAAAATGTGTCGACATATTCACCAGTGACGTGCATAAGGGTAATCACTGAAATATTTTTCTAAAAAAAGCATGCACTTTACTGACTTTTTTCCTTTTGTTAGCGAAATAGTGTAAGCAGTTTAATGTCGATTAAAAGTGTCTCTTGATATTTTGTCGATTTCGGCCTCCTTGATGAGATAAAAGCAATTTTATTAATTTGCCTCGATCCAAGTGTAATAGCAACCTATAAAAAATGTTAATATCATTAACTTGCGTAAGTTTTAAATAAGTACTCATTGATTCCTTATCAAAAAATATGAAAAAAAGTTCCTATAAACATGGGTATGGAAATGCATAGTTTTAGAGCTACAGAATATTAAAACTTATTAAAATAAGGTTTTTTAAAATTATTTTAAATACCATTATTTTTTATTTGAAATTGCTGTAGGCTAAAATTTAATAATTTTATTTTAGTTAATTGTGATTAATAAAATTGCGTTTATCTTATCAAGGAGGCCGAATTCGACAAAATATCAAGAGATAACTTTTAATTGTCGTTAAACGGCCTACACAATTTCGATATCAAAAGAAAAAAGTCACTGGTACACATGTTTTTTTTTTGAAAAATATTCCATTATAACCCATATGCACGTCCTCGATGAATTTATCGACAATTTTTTAGCATTAAAAAAATATATAGCACTTATAGTAACTTTCACCCTCAAAATTTAATTTGAATCACTAAAAGTACTTGAAAGAAAATTATAATAAACAGAAAGATTATTAAAACTTTAACACTCTGTAGCTACAAAACAAAGCAGAATCGGACCTATGATGATATGAAAAATAATTCTTATTTTTACGTGAGGAATATCCTCACGAGAGATGGCACATGATTTTTGAAACAACCTGTATAAAGCAATAGTTGAATGAAAAATGAATATTTTAAAATACCTAAGTAAATTCTTGATATCAAAATTGATAAAACTTTACAGAGAATTTAAGTATGTAATAAAAAATGGGGGTACCCATTTAAAATAAGAAAGTTGCCGTTGTGAACTTCCGGTATTTCCGGAAGTGTCGCCATACTGAAAACAAAATAATTGGTAGATCACATTGTGAAACAATGATCTGGAAAAAATAGCAGATTTAGATCTTGCAGTTCTCTAGAAACTTCTAATGCACGCTCAGCCTGGAACCCTGTATACTCAAAAAGTCAGAATGGCTGAGAATATACTTATAACCTTTTCTTTCTTTAGCTGATGGTTACATCCAGCCAGAGTTATACCCAACAATACCCAGACAGTACTCAAACAGTTCCGACTTGAAAATAGTCGCTGGTTCGAACGCCGTCAGAAACCAGTTCCCATACCAAATTTCTCTACGTGTTGTTACTGGAAATACTCTCTTCCACATTTGCGGAGGCTCCATCCTCAGTCAAAGGTAGGTAATGCATGAAGAATGAATTGTTTCTATATATAAGGAAATCAAATACGTGTCTTTAATTCATGGTCTATTTAAAAAATGGCCAGTATCCATATTTGGACCCAAAAATCAAGATAGACTATAAGACTATTAAGTAAAAAAAATATATAAAAATGCTTGGAACTTCAACTTAAATACTAAAACAACCGATAGTAATACATTTAAAATATTTTTACTTATTTATAAACATCTTTAGAACGCTAAATACACGTTCATATTGGCACCGTTCGAGTGGCATCGCGCAAAGCTCGCTGGACCATCATAAGAGAGATAGAGGTACTTTCGATCAATGTCGGTTTAGTCCAACTAATAGGATTGCTCATCCTCATAAGACGTACGTTCGCCTCTTCCCGCGCTTCAGCTGACAGTTGTGACGTCATTGTAGCCCTTGTCAAAGCCTTCGTGGCCTTGTCATGATAGTGTGTATTATTAGTTGCCTATGGTAAACTTATAAAAATAACAGCTGAGAAATTTTGAGTTAATTATTTTGTCAATTTTAAATGTGAAAAAGGTGTCTTTAAAGTTTTTTAGAGCTATAGAGTGTATAAATACGTTCATTTTGTGTTGTGGATTGTGACAAAGTGCATACTAAGTGCCCACGATTTTGTTTATTAATTATTTTAAAGCAAGATATGGAAGTACTCTAAAAAGAATGCTTGCAAAAGGTGATGCTGGGGGGCTAAACCTGCTGTTCTTAAAAATGCATTATCCGAGTATTTAATACGATTTATACAGTTAATTTTCTTTACTGCATACATAAAAGGTGTTTAAATAAATAAGCTAAATAATGAACGTTTTGCATTCGGTAACCAATAATGCACGTGTGTGTATTATTGGTTGCCGGATAAGGACTAATAACTATGACAAGGGCTACAATGACGTCACAAAGCGAGTAGTTCTCACATGCACCTGGCGGACACTTTTGGCTGAATGAGCAGTCCTATTAGATTAACTGTTCTTGGGTTTAGTCCAATGACTAAAGAAGACAAGGACATGTAACGCCCATATACGGGCTGCAGCAGAATTTGTGACATTAGACGCCATTTTTTTGATGGCAACGAATGAGTCATCAGCTGGTTATCAGCGAAAATTTTAATGATTTCTAATAGTTTGTGTGTAGTGAACTTTGTATAAACTTTATAACAATGGTGTTTAGTTGTTCAGCTTTCAAGTGTAAAAGCCGCAGCGATAAGAAAGAGCCAGGAGTTACGTTTCTATAGGTAAATAAACAGTCCACTCCACCTTTTTAGCGTTTTCTTAGTTTTCTTATTGAATTCGATAATTATTTTATTGATATTATGTACTCGATGTGCGCTATACGTCTATACTAGTTTTGTACCTTTTGTTAACATTTTAATACGTTTTTGTAATTAATTAGTATGATACCACCGAATTCACCATAGGCGTAGTCAAAACATTTATCAAAAAATGTAAATATCTCTTCAAACAGCTAAATTAAGAAAAATATGTGCCACGGCACTGTTTGGTTAGGTACTGATGCACTGATGGTAATAATTTGCTCTTGGGTGTTATTTGTCCTTGGATTCTTTAGTCATTGGTTTAGTCGATACGTAAGTAACAACGTAACTATTAAAATGTTCATCAAGTTGAAGTCATCAAAGTGAAGTTCTTTTTATAGTTAGATATCCAAGACATATTTTCAAATTACGGCAGGACTACACTGTACATGTCCGGGTAAATCCGGACGTATGGAAACCTTATTTTCGGCCTACCTCTCTTTCCATAGGACTATATTCTTTAGCTCTTTTTATCCATTTACTAATGCTTGACCATTTCGTATCTACTATAGTTTTAACTGTTATAGTATACGGTTTTTCTTTTATATGGGTTAATTTATTTGATACCACATTGTTCTTTGAATTTACTCATTTGTTATCTATGTATTTTATACAGGGTGTTTTAAAAAACATGTGCCATCTCTTGTGGGGAAATTCCTCACGTAAAAATAAGATTTATTTTTCATATCAACATAGGTCCGATTCTGCTTTGTTTCGTAGCTACAGGGTGTTACAATCTTAATAATCTTTCGATTTATTATAATTTTCCCTCAAGTACTTTTAGTGATTCGAATTAAATTTTGAGGGTAAAAGTTACTATAAGTACCACATATTTTAATGCTAAAAAAGTGTCGATAAATTCATCAGGAAAGTGCATATGGGTAATCGCTGGAATATTTTTCAAAAAGAAAACATGTGCGCCACTGACTTTTTTCTTTTGATATCAAAATTGTGTAGGCCGTTTAGTGCCAGTTAAAAGTTATCTCTAGATATTTTGTCGAATTCTGCTTCCTTGATGAGATAAACGCAATTTTATTAATCACAATTAATAAAATAAAAATAAAAATAAGATTAATAAATAATTATATATTTTACATAATTTATTATTAAATAATATTACTATTAGTTAGTATTGCTATTAGTCCAACCTACAGCAATTTAAAATAAAAAAATGTATTTAATATTAATAATTACAAAAAATCTAATAAGAATTAAAAATGTTGACATTCTGTAACTCTAAAAATGTGCATTTCTCTACTCATGTTTATAGGAACTTTTTTTCATATTTTTTGATAAGGAATCAATGAGTACTTATTTAAAAAAAATCGAAAATTAATCATATTAATTTTTTTTAAAGATTGCTATTAGACTTGGATGAAGGAAAATTAGAAAAATTGCGTTTATCTTTTCAAGGAGGCCGAAATCGACAAAATATCAGGAGACAACTTTTAATCGGCATTAAACTGCTTACACTATTTCGCTAACAAGAGAAAAAAGTCAGTGGCGTACGTGCTTTTTTTAGAAAAATATTCCAGTGATAACCCATATGCACGTCCCTGGCAAATATATCGACATTTTTTTAGCTTTAAGATATTTTTTATCTTTGTGAGAATGATATGTTAAGCCGCGTCCAAGCTACTCGAACAAAATGTTCGCGAACATATATAATTAAAGAGAGAGGTAGATTTATAAATAATAAAGCCAACAAGTACAGCTAGCCTAGGCCTATTAGGTGCGTATTCACTATCTGAACGATCTAACGAATGTTCATTCGTTCGTTCGGTAGTAGTATGGACGGGACCGGATTTTAGAACCAAACGAAAACACCTTAACCCATTCGTTTGCGAACGCCTTTGATGTACCGACTCGAAACGGATGGCCGAGCGAACGAACAAACGAACGACCGCATTCGTTCGGTCCACCGTCCAAATATACCGAATTCCATTCGTTCGCTCGCTCTTTCGTTCCTTCGTTCGGATAATGAATACGCACCTTAATAAGGAGCGCAGGGCGCCGAACGGATAGCTCGTACGCCAGAGCGTGCATTATGGTAGAGCGCGCGCGTTCTTTTTCCGACGGGTGTCGGTAAATCAAAAGGAGCGAACGGCGTGCATTTCGGCGGACATTGTACCGGACACTTGGAAGGGTCTCATTTAATTTCGGGCGTCCATCTGTGATTTTTATTTTTTACCGAGTATTCGACAATGGAGGACGCAGTTATTGACTGGGATCGTGAAAAACATTTACAACTAATTTGTTTACACAAAGAAAAGATTTTATAATTTTAATTTTATTGTGGGTTGAGCGTGAATAGCTATGTAGCTAGACTTCGTCCATATAATTTCATTTTTGTTAATAAAGACCTTTATGATTATTTTTATTAAAGACCGGAATTATTATGGGATTCTGAAATTAAAAATTACTACTTAATAGGAAGTTTGACACCGGAAATGAAATTTTACCATTACATTTTTAGAAATAAATATACCGGGTATTTCTGAAAAGTTGTTCACTTCTATATCTTTTTTAATTTTTTAGATAAAAAAACGAGATTTGGTATGTTAGTATAGGACATAAATCAGGATTGATCGACGTTTTCAATTATTTTCGGTCACTACCTATTTCACCGGATATGACAACAAATTTTGATTTAAATGGTATCCTCGGTATTTTTTACCGTATATAATAGAAAATGACATTCTAAATAGAATGATATATTATATTTCAACTTTTGACATTTTCAATTTAAAAATGGCCATAAATAAAGGTAACGACAATTTTACTCCAAATACCAAGTATGTAGTACCCAATTATTCGTAAAAAATGCTTTTTCCAAATATGCTGAGCCAGCCTCGTACCATTTGAAAAATTTGAGTTATCATTAAAAATACGATTTGGGCATCTTTTAAACGGTCATGAAAGGATACGAAAAAAATTACACGATCAAATATATGTTTCCAAAGTTCTTTGATTACAAATTAATAGTTTTAACTCAGTCTTGGTACTCCAGACTGAAATTTAAAATGCTATTTTTATTTAATTGGAATTGTTTAAAATTGACGTTTGGTATGTCATTCTATTCAGAATGTCATTTTCTATCAAATAAAGCAAAAAAGTACTTAGGATACAATCTAAAAATACAAAGTTGTAGTCATTTCCGGTGAAACAGGAAGCGACCGAAGGTAATTGAATACGTCAATCAATCCCGATTTATGTCATATACTAACAAACCAAATTTCGTTGTATTATCTGAAAAAATAAAAAAGTAAAAAAGTGAGTCCCTTTTGAGAAACACCTGGTAGAATCGGCTGAAAATGAATACAGGTCTTAAAAATACACTATAACGAATAATCTACCAAAAGACCCCTGTGACCCTCCGCCTGCTAAATATTGATTCTTCAACGACAAACTGTTTACCGGTTAATTTATTTAATAAAATGCTTGCACTCGAAATCCGGGCACTCGAAAAAACAGCGACTACCTAAACGCATCCTAGATCTATAGAGCAAACTGGTTGTCGCATTCTTCCCCGCACCTCAGTCCTCGGGACCGATGCGATGGGCTGCGCCGTCGTTTACGACCTGCTGCTACGAGTATATTGTGTGAATTATATATGTTCGCGAACGTTTTGTTCGAGTAGTTTGGACGCGGCTTTACATCTACAAAACTTCCTCTCAATACCATAAAAAACATTTACCTCCACTTTGGGCCTAAGTAAAGCTAAGTAAACCTAGCACGTACAAAAAAAAAGTGATTCTCAGGTTGGTACACAATTTGCTATACTTTTGAACTGGTATGGACTATTATAATTTACCTTTATTTTAATCGTAGAAACTAAAAATGTAATAATATACGGGGTGTTCCATTTAAAAAAATACAACTTTGATATTTTTTATTTATTTGGGACACCCTGTATCTTGTGAAAATATTTTTAAATTGAAGCTCTAATAGTCCTTCAACGATCCCAAAACTTACAATTTGTAAAAAATCTCATCGTTTAGCTACAATACTCCGTGTCGTATGTGGCGAACAACCCTGTATAATATTCAGTCCTCAGAAATATAACTCACGTGACCTGGCATAATGTAGCCTTCCAAACTTTATTTCTTATTAAAAAAAATATAAGGATTTACCATTCGTAAACTTCCAATAGTTTTTCGGTAGTAAGTCGAGTTTCGTTTCGAATGGTTCCATTTGTCACTGTTATCGTACAAATCTCGCTACCGTGCATCACTGCCGGTCTTAAAAAGGTGGTCTATTGGTCTTCTAGGAGATGTTTTCTTCTTGATTCATATCTCGCATAAATAGTCTTGCTTTGTGTTATTTTCGCCTATCGTTCTCGCATTTAATTGACTTTTTCGCATTTTTTACTTTCTTATCACACTCCTTACCTATTGTTACCTTTTAATGTTGATATGATGCACAGCATGTTATTTTCATTCTGGCCATGTTTTATCGTTCATGGTTTCCAAGCAGTCGTCATTGAACTATCCTTTTGTCTTCTGTCAACTTTGATTTTATATTACTTCGAGTCAAGTAAGAAAGGGTAATACTATCCTACCTACAGGGTGTGTGTTTCAAAAAACATATGCTAATTAACTCTGATGAGCGATTTGAATGAAATTTTGAGGCTAAAAGTTAGTGGTACATATTTTAAAATTAAAAAAGTGTCGACAGTGTTACTAGGGACGTGCATATGGGTTCTCACTGGAATATTTTTCTAAAAAAAACATACGCGCCACTGATTTTTTTCTTCTTATTAGCAAAAGTGTGTAGACTATTTAATGCCGATGAAAAGTTATATCTTGGTATTTTCTCCAATTCGATCTTCACAATGAGATAAAAGCATGTATGTAATGTAATGTAATGTAAATTATGTATTTAATGTATTTTATTACTAAATTTTCTTAAAGTTTATAAGACTGATGTGTACAGTGCTACCTACAGTAAATTCCCCCCCAAAATAATGGTATATAATATAATTGCAAAGGGCATATTTTTTAAAAATGTTAACATCCTGTAATTCTAAAGCTGTGCATTTCCGCATCTGTGTTAGTAGGAACTTTTTTATATATTTTTTTTGATGAGGAATCAATGAGTACTTATTTAAAATTTTGGAAAATCTATGACAATTCAATCTTTTAAAGGTTGCTATTAGAATTGGATTAAGGCAAATTAATTAAATTACGTTTATCTTATCAAGGAAACCGAAGCCGACAAAATATCGAGAGACAACTTGTAATCAGCATTTAACGGTCTACACAATTTTGCCAACAAAAGAAAAAAAAGTTAGTGGCGCATATATTTTTTTAGAAAAATATTCCAGTGTAACGCATAAGCACATCCCTGGTGAATATGACGACCACTTTTTAGCATACAAATATGTCATACTTATAGTATCTTTTACCCTAAATTTCATTCGAATCGCTAAAAGCATTTGGAAGAAAATTATAATAAATCTTAAAAAGATGAAGACTGTAACATTCTGTAACTACGAAACAAAGCAGAATCGTACCTTTACTAATATGAAAATAAATCTTATTTTTACGAGAGGAATCTCCGCACGAGAGATGGTACGTGTTTTTTGAAACCCTGTATATTTTGACTTATCGTATAATATATATTTGTGTTTGATGGAAAATTTATTTTATCTTCTAGATGGGTTCTTTCGGCTGCTCATTGTACACAACGTGCTGCCAGTGATTTCAGGGTAACGGCCGGTATCCTGTTGCAAACTGACACTGGAATTGCCAACCAACAAACTGTAGCTGTTTCTTATTATGTTAACCATGCTTTGTACCCAGGGTAAGAAAAATCAAATTTTTATACCATTGCAGGTAAAATAACTTCACCGTTTTCTGTAGAGGCAACGTTGTAGCTGCTAACGACATATCCGTCATTCGTTTGGCTTCTCTTCTTACCTACGCAGTCAACGTACAACCCATTGCTCTTCCAGTTGCCGGTGCTATTCCTAGCGGTACATCCGTCGTTTCTGGATGGGGATCCCTTGGACCTCCAACCAACTCTGCTCCCAACAACCTTCAGTTTGTTAACGTTCCAATTTTGGCCAAAGACCGTAAGCAAAAACCTTAAATTTATTATTAAAAATTGATACTAACAGAGTATATTTCTCAGAATGTGCCAATGTCATCAGACAACTTTCTGGAATTATCAACCCCTTCAGATCTGCTCTTAACGTGTGCACAACAACCCGTGCAGCTTCAAGTATCGAAGCTGTCTGCAGTGGTGACAGCGGTGGCCCATTGGTAGTCAACTCTCGTGTGGTCGGTGTTGTTTCCTGGGGATACAGTCCATGTGGAAACGCCGGATTTCCATCTGTATACGTCGACACTGCCGCTTACATCTCCTGGATCCTACAAAATACTAACAACCTGTCTAACTAATCCATGTTTATTTATTTTATTTTATTTAATAAATAAACTATAGCAGATACTAAAAAATTGTTTATGTTTTATTTGAAAACGCTTAAAATAATATTGTGTACGCATTTATCAAAACCAAAGTAATGAACTAGAGAAACATTTTGTTGTGAACAGCCCCGTACATTACTTTTCAGAGTTAATTCTTGTGCTGATTAACACGACAGAGAAATAAACTTTACTAAAATAATACATTGCTTCCTTAAATGTATAAAAGGGTATCAGAAATTTCTGGTCTAATTTAAATATTTATTTCACATAAAAAACTTCGTTATTTCAAATACAACATTATGTATTTTTTTAAATAAGCCGAAGCAGATTTAAATGCTCTTTCACACTATATTAGAGTTTCCTATACCTATCTGGCTCAGATTTTGAATAAAAAGCGATTTTTCAATAAAATGGCAATCAAGATGACTGGTGTCGCCATGGTAATTTGCTAGTGACAATTAGTAGCTATTTTCAAAATCAACATTAGTTTATGGACATTATTTAAATTGATAACAGTTTATTGTTATTTAATTTACCTACAATCCTACAATAGTTTAATAAGTAAGCATGTATTATTTTATCAAGAAAAATAAAGAAGTAGTTCTTTGATTTATATTACGATGACTTGTAGATATATTGGATTTTCTATAAAAAGGCCATTCAAGGCAAATTCATTTTCTTCACTTCCAACGACAGGTTTCTGCCTAATAGGTTTTTCATATACCACACTATCGGCTCTGCAAAATAGGAGAAGTAGTTTTTCAAAGGAACATCTTTGAGCATAAACCCTTCAGGCCAACAAGCAATTGTCCTCACAAAATAAAATCATTAGTAACATACCCATTTCTTCCGCCAGCAGATACTACTTCATTTTTCTTGATAAAATAATAAATACTTACTTATTAACCTTATTGTAGGTAAATTAAATAAAAATAACCTGTTGTAAATTTAAATAAAGTCCATAAACTAATGTCGATTTTGAAAATAGCTACAAGTGTCACTATAGAAAACTGCCATGGTGACACAGCCATCTTGATTACAATTTTATTGAAAAAAAAAACGACTTTTATTCAAAATCTGAGCCAAATAGGTAAAGGAAACCCTAATACATATAGTTCGAAAAAACATTTAAATCTGCTTCGACTTATTTAAAAAAATACATAGTGTTGTATTTGAAATAACGAAGTTTTTATGTAAAGCAAATATTTAAAATAGACCAGCAATTTCTGATACCCCTGTATACATTTAAAAGCAATACATTTTTTAGTAAAGTTTACTTCTCTGTCGTATTAATCAGCACAAGAACTAACTCTGAAAAGTAATGTACAGGGTGTTTACAAAATTTTTGATTATAGCATGCATATTTAAATATCTTTAAATATCTCAAAAACCAAAGCATTTAAACATATTAAACCCTGATAATAAATGCCCCATTTTATGCCCAAGAATCCAAAAATGAAATAAAATACCGGCTGTTCCATAAGAAAAAATATAACTTTGGTATGGATCTTACTTCTTACACGTCCTGTACATTTCAAAATAATTTGAAATTATGCACATTGCCTCTCTACATATACCCATAAAAAATTTGGTTTCTACATCTTTCCGTTTTCGTATAATCAACCGAGGCGAATGTACATTTATATAAGGAATGTCATCAATAGTCATTTTCATGCCAACTGGACGCTCTCTTACGAAAAACTGGCGCTTTTTATGAAGTCATGGCCAGCTATGGTTTTCATTTAAAAAAAACATGTTTGTGTCATATGTCAAAAATTACAGGCTTTAGAAAAAATCGGAGAAATCGTTAGGGTTGTGATTATATATAACTTTTATCTGTCTAAAATAGATTATAATGGAATTAGGGACAATTTTTAAAATAGCCGAAATTTGTTTTTTTCGAAATATCTAGTGAGCCATGAAATTTTTCAAAAATCTGAAAGTCGCATATTTATGACCCCACAAAACTGCAGTTCTTTCCCCATTTAACCGACTCTCTATCTCCAGTAGTTATCGAGATACCCATAGAGAACATCGTAGGAAACTCACCTTGATATAATTTTGTTACCTACATATTAATTTAAAGAAGCTGTTAGATTTATTAGCTAAAATTTACTATGTATGTCGAATTTTTGCTGCTTTTATTATTAATGAAATAGTAATTTTATTGAAAATTTAATAAATCTGTCATTTCGAAATAATCAATTACAGATAGAGATAAACATTTCTTATCTATTTTTCCATTTATGAAACAATCCGCAAACTTTTCAATGGTTTCAAGAGCTACTAAGTTTTTTTTTGAATGAAATCGATCAGTAGTCCAAAGATGACAAAATTTTTTTCCACTACACTGAAAAAACAAAATAATCCAATATTACTAGATTTAAACAATAGTGCACTTCAACTTAATTACTTCTTAGAAAATATTGAAATAATAACAATTTACAAATGCATCTGAGAAAAGAAAGACATGTATTCCCGAGAAAAAAAACCAAAACCTTAATTTATTCAAACTGCACTCAGATGCAAAAAAAAACGTAACGGAGAAAATTTTGGTCAAATTTAAAGTGTTATACCGTGCTGGCAACTGTTACTCTTGGGTCGGTATTTACATGTGTGGAAGTAAATCGCATAGGGATCTTACTAAGTCGGAGTGAGAGATATGCGACGGAGTGCTGTTGCGGCGTTGCCGGTACGCCTTTCCCTATCAAGTAAAGTAAAATCACGATCGCAAACCGCTTATTTTTAAAAGACTTTTTTCGAAAAGATAACTAGATAAAACCATTAGAAATATTTCTGAGCATCTGAAATGGAATTATAAGGCTATACTTAAGGTGTCATTTTTTTATAAACGAGAAAACGTCAGTAATCGCGATAATTTAAAAACTCAACTTTTTAACAAACGCCATAACTCAAGAAACACTTTAGATATTGAAACTTTTATTTTTATTTTGAAGATAGGATCTTTTACAATATGTTTACATAAGTTAGTTTTTTTCCATTTAAAAATGTTAAACAACCAATCTATTTACTTTTAGAGAATAGCAATTTTCAGCAATCGTGTAATTTTTTTATTGATAAAGATGTTCACTTACTGTCTACGAAGAAAATGCAGCAGAAATATTAAGAAAGTTTTTGAAAAAACTACAATCAATTATTTCTAATAGATTTCGAGATATCGATTTTTGAATTCAGAGTTCTAATAGGCCGACCACTGTAGAAAACCAACTCAATTCCACTTATTTTTACCAAAAATGCAAGTGTTTCTAGCTTGCACTTAAAAATTTTCAAGCCATAGGGAAAATTACTCGTTAATAAATAAACAAATAAAGTATCACGACACGCAATTAAATCGTGAAGCTGAACGCATGATGCACACCTTTCCCTAGAACTTTAAGTACTGACAGAGCTACTGATAGAAGTGTCTAGCCCTAGCAGTCAACTTTTAAGCTTGACCAATCAGGTTGGTTAGCGTGGTTATTTGAAGTGTGTTAATGCATTTGTATTTGTCAAAAACTCTAACGTGATTCGTCGGGCTTAATATGTCCTATGAGGCAGATGAGGCAGTGCCTCACCAATACATTTGAAAAATTACACTTATTAATCGATACATCTTTATTCACAATTTTATATTTATTTCCCTATTTGCATTAATAATAATTGCATTTTTTAACCGTCATTCTACAATAAATTACGTCGATGGTATTCCTTTAAACGCGCTTCCTATCCCATATGCTACAAACTCGACGATGTATATCCATCTCATTTGTTCTTTAAGAGGTATATGTGCAGAGGTTTGCCTCTCGCCTTTCCTTGTCTAGCGTATTGTGGTATATCGCACTGATGGAGCGACAGCGTTCACTGGAATCTTAACTCTGTAGAATGAAAAGAAAAAGCATAGGCAAAACCTTTAGTTGAAGAGAGATAAAATGTATGGAGTAGTAGCGCGTAAAAAGACCGTATTGAGGCGGGCCTCAAATGTAAATTTGAACCTTAAAAGCCGTTCGTTAAAAATATGTATCACTTCCCGATCAGTTCCCGATCAGCCCGAGAGATTTTAGGAGACAGGCTGAAAATGCAGAATTGCATTATTTTGGAATTTGGCTTAGTTTGAATCAGAGTTTTAATTAATTCTGCAGGTTATTACACTGTTTTGTCTACGTTTTTTAATGTAAATTGCATGTTTAATTACTCTTTTTACTGATTATTGTACATATAAAGTAAATACCTAAAAAGTGGGCAGTGACTTATTGTTGATTGATATGATGATTTAGAGGGACCATGCATCATCAGAGGACTTCGCCAAGTAAAGTTTTTCGAATCATTTCTAGATAAATTGTGTATAGTCAAAAAGTAAAGCGACCTGTTACAGATTTCGTTTTGTTTTATTTTTATAGGATGGATAGAAAAACAAAATGTTACCATACAGAGTAAAATATAAGAGAAAATATCCTGAGGTCGCTTTGATAAAAATTTACTGTTGCAATAAATAGCCCTATGTAATAGGTACCATATGCTCGAGAAAAAACGGCGTCAGCGTTGGCTATGAAATGAAGATCGCTGTCATTTTATATGTAAATTTATATGGGAAATGTCATCGATCGTCATTTTCCAGCCAACTAGACGCCGTTTTTTTTTCGATCATACGGTATAATACTGCGAATTATATTACATAAGGCTATTTCCGCAACTGCTAAAAATTTAGAAATATTTTAAATACAAAAATGTGCGCTTTTTAAGTCTGTAGGTATCTAAAATACTAAAAATAATATACAGTGTGTATTGCATTTAAAAAAAACTGAGATATAGTATTATAATATTGCAATGTTGGCCGCGCCATAAAAAAATCTCTGTGAATGTGAATTTTTCTCGGATTTCTTCTTTTATCCGATAGCGAGGTATGTAGCTATATTATACGTACTTAAGCAATAATATATCAATAAGTTAAATTCACTCTAGATTTTTACCGCTTTTTAAAAGATGAAATTTTTCAAATATGAATTATCATGGAAATCCCGCATAGGTACAGTACGTCTGTCCGTTCTGTAGCCACGGGGTATCCGTGAGAGGGGAAACGATATTCTCTCCATGTTTTTCGTAAAAAATTAGACGACGCGTCCCATCAATAAAAATTCGACAAATTTGCAAGTACCCAATAAAATGAGTGGGCGGAGCGATTTGCGGTGACGTACTCGTCAAGTCGACGTATGAAATATATTGCTGTTTATTTAAATGTTTTTTGTCCGCATTCCTTTCATAGACACAGATCCAGCAGGCGAACTGTATATAGTGCTTCAAATAAATCAATAGTGTGATGTATGCTGAATTTTATGCTGAACCCAATTCTGTACAGAAAAATGGTAATGCGATTGCAATTTTAAAGAAAATATTTTTTTAGGATATGTACTTTTTTTATATAGAACTTCCTCGTACTAATGGCCACCCTATATACATACTAATAAAAATTATCTTCTAATGTGCCTCACCATCTTCCAGTGCTACGAGCCGCCCCTGATTCGTATAGTCAGTTTTTTATAAACTTTAGTATTTGGCATATTATACAGGGTTAATCGAGGGGTTGTTTTTACCTTAACTTTAAAACACCCTGTGCAATAATTTTGTGTGTCAATTTTCCTAATTTATAATTTTACGGTCAGAACCATGTCTCCTGAGCATTTTGTTTTTTGATTTATATCAATTCTCAATATTACATGTTTTGGCTAATTTTTAAGAGCAAAATGAACTTGCCACCAACAATTTGCAATTTTTTTAATTATTATTTCTTTTTGAAGTTATTTTTTAATATGACAAAGCGGGTTTGGTGATTATTGTGAACTATACACTATTATGAACTGCCCATCATGTTTGACGTTTTGGAAATGCTTGGCAAAAGGGTAGAGTTACCAGCTTCATTAAAAGAACTTCGCTTGGTTCTTAAAGAAAAATAGGAAAACATAATGCAATATGATATAATGGTACGTACACATTGGTGCGCTGCGCCGCGTACGGGCGGCGCGCGCTCCGAGCGTTCAGCGCGCGTTGCTTTTTTTGTTTTAACGAACATCCCGCGATCCATAGAAATCCCGCGAACATTCGTCTAGTCGTTAATCATGTCTCTATCGTCCGAGAAGAACTACGAAATTTTAATCATGAGTAGTGCGACTGTTTAAACAGTCCATTAATAAACAATATTCAAAGAAAAACACAAAAAAGGGAATTTATTCAAAGAAAATACACATAGTCACTGATAAATGCGCGTGGAATGCGCGCGGTGTCTTCAGCGGCCGTCCCAACTGAACAACGAACAAATAAACCGGAGCCAAGGGAGGGGGCAATACAAAGTATTAATTTTAATATTATTTTTTTCAATTTTTGTTTTCTATTTGTTTCTACTTGTATTACAGATTTTTTCTTTAATATCGTTAGTTCGGTTATTGTTATTAATGTTTATTAAAACCCGGACTGTATCGTTAGTTTTTAACGTTTTTTTTGATTTAGTATAGAGTATCTAATGCTGCGTAATATGTCGAGTTACGACAATACGAGTAGTCACTAAAACCATCCCGTCATATTAAAAAATTACATCAAAAAGTAATGATAATTTAAAAATTGCAAAGTTTATAAAAAATTGAGTTTACGAATTACAGTTGATATAATTATATTATACAGCTTGCTAAAAAATTCATGAAAATAAAGCTAAAAATAACAAAAATATAACACTTTAAAATTGACCAAAAATTTCTATAACTAAATAACCATTAATTAATGCTGTATAATCATTATTAGCGAAATAAACTGTTTAGTAATAATTTTTTGGATTTTTTTTTCAGTGTATAGATATGCTACGTATTTCCTTGGGAGTGAGGGTAAATCGTAATATTCTTGTTAAATCACATAATTTCTTTTATTGATAAGGAAGGCCTGTCATATAAAAACGCATCTTCTCAATGAATCAAATAACTAACTCAAACGTTAGCAAACATGAAGGTTCTTCTAATATTGGCAGTTGTTGTGGTAGCAGCTTTGGGTATGAACGTTTACTTTCTTATTTTTTCTCTATTTTTTATATAATGTTGCGGTTAAAGTGTTCACTCTTGGCTAGTTTAACTATTTTCGGTCATTTTTGATGGAAAATCGTATTTTATCTAGGACAATAATCGCAGCTCTTTTAAATGGGTAGTTTTAGACCAACCAATAGGCTTGTTTATGTACTACCCAGCTAATTTACGAATTATCAAAAGTTGTTAAAGTTCCAAACGTATATATCCAACTCTAACGTAAACTAATAAATTTATGTACTTTGTTTAATTTATTAAACGTGTTGTTATTATTTTTATTTCAGTATTTTTTATATCAAGTTACGGTTAAAGTGCTGACTTTTGGTTAGGTTATAAACTAGCTAAAGATTACTTAAGAAATTATCTATTGTCTGGATATTTTTGATCGAAAGTCATATAACATCTAAAAGAGCTACGATATAATCTCAAATCTTTTAGATAGATAGTATAGTATTTTGTCACTATTTTTTACATATTTTTAATTAGTAATGGCAATACTATGTTGCATCTGTAGATTATCTTTATTTCTATTTAATAATTATTGAATTTGCTTTATTATTTTAAACAAAAATACCCAAACAAAATTAGTTGGGTTACATACTAACCAATGAGTAAATTATATATTATTAGATATTATATTAGATATAATCTTGGTGCCATTCAACCGATGTTTTAAAATTCCGACCGCAGTGCTCGATACGGCAGAAATCAGAACTGCTTATTTTATTTCACGCTGTCTCGGTTATTGATCATTTTAATCGCATTGAAATAATATTGAAATCGTGGTAATGTTATAATATTTAAGTATTTTGATTTTTACCAGTGCAGTTATCAGTTATTGAAATTATAAACTTCTCAGGTACGCAGTTTGTACGTTGTGGCTAGTAGTAAAAATTAAGTGAAAAATAATCCAAACTGCGCATCGGCGTTGTGGTTGTAGCAATTTCAAATATTGTTAACATGTTAACATGTAAAGATTGGCGTAATTACATGGCTTTATGTGCAATAACATTAAATACAACTCTCCCGGAACAATATTCTATAGCTTCTAAGCTTTGTCACACAGATTTGACCAAAAGAATGAAATAAGTGAGTTAACAAAGAGCCTATTACATATTAAAAAAATAAATAGGCATATACTATGGGAGGATAAAATATAATTCGATCAATATTAATGGGTATACTTTTTTTTAATCTACTAGTAACTTTTTAACTAGTGCTTATTTTTTATGAACATCTAAAATTATAATTTTGTCACCTGTTTAAATTGTAATTATGTTCACGGCAAAGACTCGGCAGACGAGTGGTTTTATATTAGGTAATGCTGGTAATGCTACGCTATTTTAATAATTCCACTTTAAGTGTCCTTTAAGTAACTTATGACGCAGTTCATTTTAGTCCCAGGTCTTGTACTAATAATCATACCCCTCATTTTCATCTACTAGAGAATTTCGTACAATATAGAGAAAAATGGATATACTTATAGATTTTTCTTTTTTAGCTGATACAGGATACATCCAGCCAGAATTCTACCCAGCAGTGCCCAGAGAGTACTCAAACAGTTCCGACTTGAGAATAGTTGCTGGTTCGAACGCAGCCAGAAACCAGTTCCCTTACCAAATTTCTCTACGTGTTATTTCTGGAAGTTCCCTCTTCCACATCTGTGGAGGTTCCATCCTCAGTCAAAGGTAAACATTTGTGATCTATTTAATATTTGGAGGTAGTTTTGTTTTGGAGATTCATCTCCATCCTCGAACCAAAATATCAGGATTTCAGATTATTTAGGAGAAGAAGGTTACTAATAAAAATCAAGTCATAGACGTAATGCCGAAATTTAATAAGACAAATAATTAAAAAAAAACATTATTAGGTATTTTAAAATAAATGACAACAGAGATGGGCATATGCGCAACCTTATGGGCACAAAACCTGTCCGAGATAAAGCTGACGATACCGTCGCTGCTAGTCAAGCTGTCCGAGATTTGGTTTTTGGATACAGTACGTTAATAATACGGATTTTCTATCATTTAACGGTTTAATATAATATTCGCTGTTAATTCATATGTAAAATATACTGGAAAATGTCAATAGTCGATTTCCAAGCCTACTAAACGACTTTTTCGATTATACGAAATAATCAGTACCTATATACTTTTTATTTTTGTTGTTTATTCTATATTTAAAACAAATAAATTTTCAATACATAAACGCGAATTTTTCATCCAAAGATATTTTCGTTAAACGTATTACAGATACACATTTTATTATGGTAACACTGTCGCTTTCAGTTCCACACCGTCTTTGATATGCTTTTGTTGGCCGAATTAGAGAAAATGAGTGTTTTATGCGTTGGCCGTAGAACGATTGGTGTCGCCACCGTACAGCACTTGAGACGTAAGAGGAAATCAAATCAGCCTTGTCACGAATTTGCCCATTAGGTTGCGCATTTTTCCAATTCCTTTAATCAACGGTAAAGTCATAGGATCATAGACTGAAAATAGAGTTTTTTAATGGGTCTAATTAGAGTCATATTGTACCACTAACAATTATTAAAGACATGAGTTGATAAACGTGTTATGTCGCATTTTTTAAAAATCAGTTACACTTCAACATCCCTTTGACAGATCTATCCTCCAATGAACTCTAAATATCAAATATAAATACCATAAAGAATATCCTAGGTGATAAAGGTATCATGTCACAAACACCATCAATAATTTTAGACGTGTTTTGTCGATTTACTCGAAACATTAAAAAAGCGATACGACACCTTTATCCACTCATGTCTTCAATTCATTTCCATGGAGCTTCCAAAACCATGTAAATTATTCATTGATATATCAAAAATTAATTCAAATTCTACTAGAAAAACTACAGAAACATGTTTTATTCTCTAGCCTACAGAACTTAAGTTTTGTTTACTATTACGAATACCGTATGATCGAATAGAATAGACTTCTGTGAGAACTGGCTATACCAGTGATTATTAAGTTTTTTCAGTAATAATTTCATATTTTAGATGGGTCCTTACCGCTGCTCATTGCACACAATATGCCGCCAATCAATTCAGGGTCACTGCCGGTATCCTGTTGCAAACTGACTCTGGAATTGCCAACCAACAAACCGTATCTGTTTCTTATTATGTCAACCATGCCTCATATCCAGGGTAATTAAAATTAAATTTTTTATACTATCGCGGGTAAAATAATTTCAATATTTTATTGTAGAGGCAGCACTGTTTCTGCTAACGATATCAGTGTTATCCGCCTGGCTTCTCTCTTAACCTACGGAGTCAACGTACAACCCATCGCTCTTCCAGTTGCTGGTGCCGTTCCTAGTGGTACCGCCGTCGTTTCCGGATGGGGATCCCTTGGACCCCCAACCAACTCTGCCCCAAACAACCTTCAGTTTGTTAACCTTCCAATCTTGGCTAAAGCTCGTAAGTGAACATCATTAAATAATATAAATTTAATATAAATTAACACTAACGCTTTTATTCTCAGAATGCGCAAGTGTTATTGCACAACTTTCTGGAAGCAACAACCCATTCAGATCTGCCCTTAACGTTTGTACAACAACCCGTTCATCTTCGAGCAGGGAAGCTGTCTGCAGCGGTGACAGCGGTGGCCCATTGGTCGTCAACTCTCGTTTGGTCGGTGTTGTTTCCTGGGGATACAGTCCATGTGGAAATCCTGGATTCCCATCTGTATACGTCGACACAGCTGCTTACATCTCCTGGATCCAACAAAATACTAACAACCTCTCCAATTAATACAAACTGTGTCCATTTATTCTAGTGTAATAAAATAAAAAGCATAATTAAATTAGTTTATAGTTTTATTGAAGGTTAATAGTAGTAGTGGGAACTATCGAATGAATACTATCGAAACATTCGATAGTTGCAATTCATTCGAATAATTCGATAGTTAGTAAGAAAACATTCGTTGAAAACTATTCGAATAAAAATTAACGAATAGATCCGTCATCTGCCTTGAAATATTGTATTCTAGTAATTCGGCAGCAAAAACCATTCATTTATAAAATTCATTCGTTTATGAAATTCATTTATTCGTCAGGATCGATTATAATAAAATATTAACTGAATTTTAGTTGTCGCCCGGCGACGTAGGTTTCTTTCCGAGAAACCCGACAGCGGTCGGTGGCAATGCTATGAAAGAAGCCGGCATCTTTGATTTTTTGCGGAGTCAGATATAGATAAGGACACATTATTTTTTTTATTGATGTGCTAGTATTTACACAGAAAATACATTATGAAGGGCGCTGTTGCCATATTTTGGTATTAGTTGATATTAGCAAAGAATATTATTGTTTGGCTTTAGTTAGTTAGGGATAGTATGTCTATATATTCTGCATTTTTGTTTATTAATATTCTGTTGTTACATTGCAATAATACTTGTTATTTTGGATGTAGGAAAATGATTTTTAATGTTTTTAAGCAAAGACTGGTAGATGTCAAAATTATTTATATTATATCCTATTTAAAAATAATATAGTCTCTAAATTTTTTGGCAACGTTGGTTTATTAAATAATAATAATTACAGAACTAATTTGTTATAATAACAACAAATTTTAAAATCATGAAATATAAACATTTATTAATTTTCTAAGCATGCGGTGTAATGGAAGGAAAATATAAATAAAAAATTAGAAATCAAAATTATTTATATTAGGTGCTTTATATTACTATTTAAAAATTATATTTACTTTTACTGGCATTTACTTTAAAAAATAAATGAAATATTTCTTCGCAAAAAACTACATGTAAGAGAATTACCTTAAACAAAATACACAACATCGTTAACTTTTTTTTTAAATTGGCACGTGTAAAACTTTCATTTTAATTTTCTCACCCCATAGTTTGAGTTCGATAACCATTTATTTAACCACATTACTTATATATAATTATTAAGTTCAACTAATTCATATTATTAAAACATCTAAAATACAAATATGTATTTTTAAAATTAATTGTAAGTTCATCTCCTCTCTCTTAAAAATTGCTACTTCCCAAAATTTCCCATTAAAAAATAGACCATATACCATATAAAATTAAATAATTGAAAGATCGGACTACGGAAAACCACACAAATTATCGAAAAAATTTTGACCACCTGCACATGCACACAATCGTCAATAAATAAAATTAAAAAATAACTACTATTTTAGTATTTTAACTATTTTAATAAACGCAAAAATAGCACAGTATTTATACGGCAAAGTTATAAAAATTTGGAAGAACTAATAATGCACTGACGCATACAAAAATCAAACGAATACTAAATTTCATTTATCAAAAGCATTCGATAGTCGTGGCTCAACGATAACCATTTAGTCGCACGACGAGGTTGTCACATATGCTTTAGTTTACAAATGAATGAATGATTTTATTCGAATAAAACCATTCGATAGTTGAAATCATTCATTCATTAACCATTCGATAGTCTAATTCATTCGATAGTTCCCATCGCTAGTTAATAGTACCAAAATCCACAAAAGTTTGTTTTAGGAAGAAATAAGACAATGTTCTTCTGAATAAACTATAGCCGTATTCTATAGGTCTAAAATATATGTCATCTAAAAAATAAAATTATAAATAGTCAATAATTAATACAAAAAAATAAGCACCAAATAATGTAGAAATATATAAAAATTGGTGTATACAGGGTGGCGCACCTTATTCGCCTTGGTTGATTATACGAAAAACGGAAAGATGTAGAAACAAAATATTTTATGGGTATATGTGGGGAGGCAAAGTGCACAATTTAAAATTATTTTGAAATATACAGGGTGTCTCAGAACTAAGATCCATACCAAAGTTATATTTTTTCTTATGGAACACCCGATATTTTATTTCATTTTTGGATACTTGGACCCAAAAAAAGTCATTTATTATAAGGGTTAAATATGTTTAAAATCTTTGGTTTTTGAGATACCGGTATTTAAAGATATTTAAATATGCATGCTACAAAAGAATTGATTATTAACACACTGTACATTACTTTTTAAAATTAATTCTTGTGCTGAGTTTAAAGGTAAAGAAATAAACTTTACTGAAAAATGTTATTGCTTCCTTAAATTTATACAGGGGTACCAAAAAATGGTGATCTATTTTAAGGATTTATTTTACATAAAAACTTTGTTATTTCAAATGCAATACCCTGTATTTTTTTAAATAAATCGAAGCAGATTCAAATGCTCTTTCAAACTATGTTAGGGTTTCCCATACCTATCTATCTCAGACTTTGAATAAAAAGCGGTTTTAAATAAAATGGCCATCAAAATGGCTGGTATCGCCATGGCAATTTTCTAGTGACAGAAACTATTTTCAAAATCGAAATTAGTTTATAGACTTTTATTTAAATTTATACCAGTTTACTTCTATTTAATTTACCTACAATAGTTTATAAAAATAATATTTATTAATATGTATTTGTTATTCTATCAAGAAAAACGAAGAAGTAGTTCTTCGTTTTATTTTACGATAACTTGTAGATATATAGATTTTCTATAAAAAATCCAATTACGGCAAATTCAATTTCTTCACTGCCAACGACAGGTTTCTGCCTAATAGGTTTTTTATAAACTACACTACCCACACAGCGAAATAGGAAATAGGACAAGTAGTTTTTCAAAGGAACACTTATTAGGAAGATTCCTATTTGGATATCTTTGAGTATAAGCTTTTGAGGCTAGGAAATAATTTTCCTTACAAAATAAAATCACTAGTCACTATCCATTCGTTCCGCCAGCAGATACGGCTTTATTTTTCTTCATAAAATAAAGAATATTGACTTACTAAACTATTGTGGGTAAATTTTAGTAAACTGTTTAAATAATAATGTCCATAAACTAATGTCGATTTTGAAAATAGTTACTGTCACTAGAAAATTGTCATGGCGATACCAGCCACCTTGATTGCCATTTTATTTAAAATCGCTTTTTATTCAAAATCTGAGATGATAGGTATAGGAAACCCTAATATAGTTTGAAAGAGCATTTTAATCTGCTTCGATTTATTTGAAAAAATACAGGGTGTTGTACTTGAAATAACAAAGTTTTTATGTAAAATAAATCCTTAAAATAGATCACCAATTTTTGGTACCCCTGTATAAATTTAAGGAAACAATAGGTAACAAGTTTATTTCTTTACCTTTAACCTCAGCACAAGAATTAATTCTAAAAAGTAATGTACAGTGTGTTAATAATCAATTCTTTTGTAGCATGCAGATTTAAATATCATTAAATATCTCAAAAACTAAAGATTTTGAACATATTTAACCATTATAATAAATGCCTTTTTTTGGGCCCAAGAATTCAAAAATGAAATAAAATACCGGGTGTTCCATAAGAAAAAATATAACTTTGATATGGATCTTAGTTCTGAGACACCCTGTATATTTCAAAATAATTTTAAATTGTGCACAGTGCCTCCCCACAGATACTCATAAAATATTTTGTTTCTACATCTATCCGTTTTCGTATAATCAACCGAGGCGAATGAGGTGCGCCACCCTGTATAGTTTTAATCCATAGCGGATAATGCACCCTTTCTACACTCGACATTTTTCTTCATCAGCATATTTCATATTACCTTTATGCGAAAATATAATTTAAATCTAGTACTTTATTTACATATTGCCACCAGGGGGTGGATGGGGAAGTGGAAACTGGCCCGGGAAAAACAGGCAACCGGCCCAAATCCACAAAAACAGTGAGCATAACGAAGAAACATATTTTATTTATTAATATATAAGTAAGGGTGTTTTTCGCTCGTGCGAAAAAGTTCTTTTGCCTCCGGTTTAAAAAAAATTGCCTTGATCAAAATTTTCGTAAAGACCAATATTGAGTCGGACATCTGAATTTTTACTACAAAATGGTTCAGTTTTACAGGGTTCTACTGCTTTATTTACATTATCGATAACGGGCAATTTGATCTTGAATAGGCTACGATTTTGAGTCAAGATTTTGAGAAATTTAAGACTTCCTGATTCATTCAGTCCAGCTGACCCAATCCTCTGTGAAATACATTACTTTTAGCTTTTCGGGTATATACTTTCTTACACATTCTAGAAAGACATTCTTTCTTTTCTGCTACAGCAGCAGCCTCCTCGTGTACACGTGTTTTTAACTGAATGAACCGCGGTCGCCATTAAAACTGCAGCATTTTTTAGGTAATTATATGTATAGTTCTTATCACAAAACGTTTCCTCTATACTTTTCTATATTTGGCATCTTGTATGATAATGCCATGACTCAAACGAAAAAACTTAGGCAATACCTAGGCAGTGGATATAAATGTGTTCTGATGTAATGCTATGTTACAGTCTCTAATAAGAATATTTGGATTTTCGAGACATATTAATATTTTATTATCTAATCCAGTTTAAACCTTATTTAACTTTTCTCTGCTGTCCCAGTAATTTTTAGCAAATTCATTTTAGCGACATTTTAAACAACAATTTAGACACAGACTTGGCTTTTAGTTCGTCCCCAATTCAAGCCAAGCATAGATATGTTTTCTCCGCCAACCGCAGAGTTCGCGTCAAATTCGTCTACCTTTTTACAAAGGGGAGCTTGAAAAATATTGCATTTAGATCGAGACTATTTAAATTTACCTAATTCTATTCATCCTTTTTTTTTTGCTGCCAGTCAGCCATATTTATTAGTTATTAATAAAAGAATAGTGGGTAAAACTGTACAGGGTACTTAAATAAGTGCAAATATTTTCATGGGTGGTATATTTCGACCCCAGGAACACGTCTACGAGTTTTTTGTAAAAGAAGATGTTAAAAATCGAGCATTTACTTTTAAATTTTCCTGTATATTTTAGAAAACTTTTTAGAACTTTTTGTTCACCGCAAATTTTCCCACGGTATAGTTTCTTAATTTCTGATATTACGGCACTAAAAGAGATGCAAATACCGAAAAATTGAGGTGGTCCAAATTATTTTAAAAAATAAATCTATTTTTTTTTTAATTTGCAAACTTTAATAACTCGATTGGACTTATTTGAAAGTCGATAAAGATTATAAAATATATTATGTTTATTTTATTGAGATCTACCAGCCCTGAAAATATTTGCACTTATAGACTCACCTTGTATAATAAAAATTTTCAAACCGAACAAACAACAGATGATTATTAAAATTATAAGTGTCCCAGAGAAAGATATTTTACAATAGTTATTTTACAAATTGGTGTAAATTATACTGATGCAAATTGATTAGTTAGTTATGGAGTCACTAAGGATGAAACGTCACTTTAGTTAGAAGATTAACCATTTAATTTTTGCTAATTCAATCTTTTTTGAGCTTTGATCGGGACCGGCCCACCGGCCCATCTTTCCACCGGCCTACCGGGAATTTTCCCGTTTTCCCATATGGTCCATCCATCCCTGATTGCCACCAAAGCTGCAACAAGTCAATTTCAAAAAGACTTAAATCTTAATATAAATCATTTCTAAAATCAAATGATATGAATCTTAAGACTTATTAAGTGGTTTTTATGATTTGAGTCTATATAGACTCAAATCATAAAAACCACTTAAATTCATCATGATGATCTGCCAGTTAAGTCGGCAAAATGATTTAAATCAAAACAATTACCCGTACAAGATAGCCAAAATTCAATTTAAGTATCTATTTTTTAATGTTAATATTTTTATTGTATTACCGATTGGGCCAATTTCCTTATTACTTATTTTATTAATTTATTGTAGATGCAAATGAGACTAAAATAAAACGGTTAAGTTTTCAGAATAACTACAAACAAAAAAAAATAAGTTTTTTTTATAAAATTTAACCGACCTTGCAGTAGGTACTTTATACCGGGTGCGTCTCAAAAGAGGTACACCTCTATAATTTTTTTATTTTTTCAGATAAAAGATTCGGTATGTTAGCGTATGAGATAAATTAGGATTGATTGACGTTTTCAATTGTTAAATCACTTCCTGTTTCACCGGAAATGACTACAACTTTTGGTTTTTAAATGGCTCGGATATTTCTACTTTATTCGATAGAAAATGTTACTCCCCATACAGCACGTCCAAATGAAATTACGTTTCTACAAGGGAGACACATGAGAAACAAAATAAATTAAAGTGAACCTAAGTGTTCATCTAGTTCTAACATATACATATGAGATACACGCAGGTTTATATTGATAGAATTGTGCGATACAGTGTTTACTAGTTGTATACCGTATGCACTCAAGATTCTAAAGAGTTTTTTGTAACGTAACAAATAATTATTAAAATGATGAAATCTGACGTCGGTATGTGTGATACTTCGTATCATAGTTGTGCCTATAGTACACACCTTATAAAAATGTGACGTATACACATAGTATAAAAATCTATATAGACACTTTGTAATAGTGTACTGTTGTGTCTACATTCTAGCATGAAATGAAGGTGTGCGCATGCGCGGATAGCCTCAGCGTAGATACACCGACCAAGTGTATCTTATGTGTCCTCTCTCCTTTCTCCTTTCTAGGAGTGGTATGTGTTAGCGGCTATTATTGTTTTATCATTCAGAAGCTCTATATAAATGTTCTGTTTGTGTGTAGTTTAAAAGATATTTTCAGGTAAGCACAAGTTTTTAATTGCCTTGTTACACCTTCCTAAGAGTATTATTAATATTCTAGCAGCGACTCTTCCCTTACTCGATACCCAATTTACCAAATTTTGACTCCAATGAATGAAAACTCCAAATATTCTCGTATAATGATAAAGAGGTTAGCTCTGCAATATATTTTTTTTTAATTTGGAAATAATAAAAATCTAAATGGACCAGAGAAAGAAAGATTTAAACACTTCAAAGAACTTCTTACACTGATATTCGGTAAGTTATAGATGGATCAATATACAGATATGTTTAATATTCAATAATCAGTTTCATATAAAATTTAAGGGTGAGATTGTTAATCTGGAAATAAAATACAAGAAAGTCCAACAGAGTGCTCGATGAATGAGTATGCTAACAAACCAACTGCTTGGAGGGAAACGAGGTCCATTAAATCGTGGCGATATACCAGTGTTTACCATTTTAGTATGTTGTACTTATATTTTTAATACTAGGTACTTATATTTTTAATACGATACAATTCTGGTTTCTGCAGTGTAAATAATTATTATTATTGTATTATTTGCGCTATTGCGTTCCATGATATAAAGAAATATAAGAATTTTATTTTTTAACCATTTAGTCCATTTTATGGAAGAAAAATGGTACATTTAATACAAAACAAAAATGAAACAATTTTAAGGCTACTTCTCTTGAACTTACGATCGAGATACTTTTGGAAAATACAAAGTTTTGACTTCCTAATTTTCGTTCTAAAAAGATATAATTGGTATCATTGAATAAATATTTCTTAAAAAGAACGAAAAGTTAGGCATCAAAACTTGTATTATTTCCTAAATTCGTTCATAAGAAGTAGTTTTATCTAGCAAAAGATGTATATACGAAGCAAAATACATACGTATACACGCGGTAGTCACAACTGCAATGTGTAAACAGAGTTTAAACGTAATACACAAGCACTGTGTATCCTACGGCACACTGTGTATCCCTTACTTTGTGTATACGTAAATGCTATACTGTGGCTACATTGTGAGGCGGACGTTTAACCTTTGTGCATACGTGTTGAACTACAATGTGTAAACGTAGCAGATTTACATCGGGGGAATTTTGTCACCCTGTGTCTACATCTAATAATGTAAACACATCGTAAATGTGATTTGATGTGCTGTATGGGTCTGCATAGAATGACATATCATATGTCAACCAAGTCATATGTCAACCAAATCATACCAAGTGTGAGGTACCAAATTATTCGCAAAAAATGCTTTTTCCAAATATGCTAATGAACAACTTTTGTTCCATTTCAAAAAATTGAGATATGATTAAAAATACGATTTGGGCATCTTTTATCGGGCCAGGACAAGACACGAATAACATTAAACGATCAAATCTATTTTTCCAAAGCTCCTTGATTAAAAATTAGTGTTTTTAACACAGCCATGGCACTCTAGATTGAAATTTAAAATACGTTTTTTTTTAAAGTGAAATTTAAAAATCAAAAGTTGTAGTCATTTCCGGTAAAACAGGAAGTAATCAAAAACCATTGAATATATCAATCCTAATTTATATCATACTAGTTGAAGCCTGGCGCATCCGCCACGACATGACATCAGGAAAAAAATACCTCCTATTTTTTTTTAATTAAATGAAAAACAAAAAATCCGGCGACGGCAGTTTTTAGAAGAGCCAATTAGCTATCTTTTAGTAAAAAAAAACAACTTTCTAGAGCAAGTCGTTACTTCAGTAGAGACGACACAGATAAACATTAGCATTTTATATATGTAGATACTAACATATTATAGTTTAGATGCCATCGAATACATATCCATTAAAAAGTGGTTATATGTTTTGATCACTCTGTAATATGTCGATGGCATAAGGGCTGGAGAATTTTAGGATACTCCACAATATATTTCGGATTAATTTCGTTCTTCCTTTTTTGGGTTATTATAACGGGGCCGAGGATTCACACTTGATTCACTTGAAAGACAACAGACTCGTAAGATAACAGACCCGTAACAAGACGAATAATTTCCGAAAAATTTAGCAGTAATAAATGTATTATTTTTAAAGTTTATGTATTTTATGTAATTTTATGTATTATTTTTAAAGTTTAGAGTTTTATGTGATTTTTTTCTTAATTCAGTTCTTTTTCTATTATTCGGTATTCGGCCCGAATACTGTGCACTATTCGGCTGAATACCGAATATTAATATAACTTGGTGAATATGCCGAATACCGAAAAGTAGCCGAATATTCGGTGCATCTCTAATCTAAACCACTAATTAGCAGAGCTCTGAAGGTAACAAAACAGTCTAAAGATTGTCTTCAAGGACTACGAAGACTATGACTGCCATGTAATTATTAAGGGTAACTGCCGTAGGACTGCCAATAACTGCCAGTGACTGCCGAGGAAAATGTACATGTAATTCCATTAGTGAGACACCACAGGATGTTTTTTGTTCCATGCCTGAAATCAGTATTTATACTCTTTTCTACACAGTTTCTATAAATGTTTACTCCCGCCTTCCGCAGTGCCTACTAGCATCCTCGATGATTTTTTCTTCGTCTTTGAACTTCCAGCATGATAAAAACTGAATCACAAACCATTGAATCCAAAAATACGTTTTATAAGAATACTTGACCGAAACCCCCTACACACTTTTTACAACTATAAAAAACAGATATTCTATATAGCAACAAAACTGTATACACTACACAAGAACTATTGCACTGACAAGGTTTAAATAAAATAAAAACTCAAACCGTATTAATTGGAAAATGTTAAAATATCTTTAAAAAAGAATTAAAATTTTGATTAAAGTCTTGTCGACATGATTAAAAATTATTTTTGATTGCGATGTAATGTTACCAGCACGTGTAAATTGTTCTATTGAAGATGTGGTAGGCAAATTAAAAGTTAATATCTGTTCTAAAAAAAATTAACGATAAAATTAACTTAAGTTAGCGTTTAGAAGTATTTTTCAATGGTACTAAAAGCTGTTTGTCTTAAGGACTATTGAAAACCGTCATTTTCATCGAAAATAATCTCTAATAATTGTTTTTGCACAATACACGCTAGATATTTTGACGTGAGTGGGGATAAAATGTGATCTTTTGATAAAAGTCAAGTTGTTCGATAAGTGGACAAGTGTTTTAATATAAAATCGCCCTTCTTAATAAATAAAGTACACTAACTTTAACGTTAGCAAATATGAAGGTTCTTCTAGTTCTAGCAACTGTTGTGGTAGCAGCTTTGGGTAAGAATAATGAAGCTTATTATTGCCTTATTAATTATTTTTTATGTAATTTATGTATTTTATTTTATTATTTAGAAAAATAATTTTGTCATACAAACAGCAAGACATTTTTTATGCCACTATGTTTGTTTTAGTATATCAATAATAACATCATAAAATGAGTTTAAGAGTAATATTGATTTAAATTTGCAAGGGGTAATAATTATTGCTGTATGTTTTGTACGTGTATATTTTTCCAACTGTTATTTTGAGTAACAAGGAATGTATTATTGGTAAAGAAGTGTCACGAAAAAAGTACAATATGATCGAATAAAAACAGCGTCAGCGATGGTTGCCATTTTTATATGTAAAATTTTGTTGGGAATGTCATAGATCGTCATTTCCAAGTCAATTGGATGTTGGTTTTTACAATCATACAGTACAATCTGTGTGTCCTATTTGAAACAGTACAATCACACACAGTAGTATATCAAATCAATATACCAAAACTATCATATTGTTATAATCTACACCAAGTGCCTTTGTATTATTTATTTAACATTTCATATTTGGTAAAGCTGTTTCAAGTAGTAAATTAACATAGCTTCTATTCAACCAAATAAAAGGTCTTAATTAATTTCATAGAAAATATTTCATTCATTTTGCGGATGCAGCTGAAAATGACCATTATAAAACAGAAAATTTGAAATTAAACTTAAATTTTGGAGATAAAAAAAAATAATTAAATTAATTATTAACACCGAACGCCTAAGGTGAAGTGAGAGTTTTTTTGTCAATCTTTTATGGATCTCTGATTGACAGATTAATATGGTTCTAGATTTTTATGCGATTTTCCCATTATTCTCCGTTATTTCTATTTAAATTCATTTCATTAATCAATAATAAGGGGCCGTGCTCTGCCGGAAACACTGCGAGGCTAATGGTATGTGAGGCTAATGGTATTTGTTCCCCTTTCTATGCCTGCACCCATTCTCCTATCCTTGTACCCTGCACCAAATTATTCAGGTCCTTGATAGGATGGGAGCATAGTTCCTCCGGTTCGAGCCTTGCTTTCCCAAATAAAGAGTGTCGCTTGCGATCCAGAGCCTCGCAATGACATATTATGTGCTCCTCTGTTTCAGGATCTTTATCGCAGAGTCTGCAGCAAAGACTTCCTTGACACAGGTTGAGCTTGTTCAGGTAACACTTGACAGCCATTTGTCCTGTCAAGAGACCTCTTGTAATCCGCACTTTATTCTTGTTAAGTATTAGCAGTTCTTTTGTGGTTTTAGAGCTAGATCCTTGGTTAAAGGCCTTGCTATGCCTGTGCCCGTGTCTGTTTCTTCAGTAGATATTCTGCTTTTCCCTGATCCAGAGTTTTAGTGGACTACGGGCTATAGACATTTTGATATTCCCAGTACTGGCTCTGGACCAAGATAGGATGCCGATGATTCTTGTCTAGCTAGTTCATCGGCTTTTTCGTTGTCATGGCGGCCGCTGGCGCTGTGGCCCGGCACCCAGAATAATTTAATTATTTTCCTTCGTGCCAGAGCTTTTACCAAGGCATTCCCAGACAAAATAACTTTGCGCTCATAAGCACTCCAATTGCCGCCTGAGTATCTGAGCAAATATTGATAAGCTTACCTGAATAAGCTGTTCTGTTGTTTTTTCTCGTACACTGTAGAGTGGCGAAGATTTCTGCCTGGAATACGGTTGAATATTTACCCAAGGAAAAGGAAAAGCTTGCCATTGTTTTTTTTTCAAATACTCCAGCTCCTGTTCCTTCAGCGGTCTTCACCCGAATGTACAGGGTGTCCCATTTTGATTGAAATCATACAGTATCTCCGTTATTCGTGAAGATAGAAGGGTGCGGTTTGCACAAACCTGTGCCACTTTTTTTTGTCAAACGGAAGATACCGTAAACAAAATTTTCATAGCCTTCTTCGTTTCTGAGCTACAAGGTCTTTTTGAAAATTTTGCAATTTGGGACACCCCCTGTATCTCTGTTATTGTTAAAGGTATTGAGACGGTGAAAACTGTTTATTGTAGAACTTTTTACATAGAATACAGTGGCGTAGTCTGTTATTCTACGAAAAGAATATTTTTAAAGATATGAACTGAAGTTATGTTTTATGTAGGGATGGGGTTACCCTGGGGTCTTCACCTTCCCCGTATCTTTTTTTTATTTTTGTGGACTCCACACACCCAAAATCTCATTCAAATCGGAATAACGGTTCTTAAAATATCTGAAAAAATGTGTTTATTTTTTTAAAGTTTGATGCTTTCTAGCGGACAAACGAAGCACTTTCATATAGAAGTAAATTATGTCCAATAAGTTTTGATATCAAAAATACGTAGTAGTTCTATGTCTACGAAATATTGGGACACCCTGTATACAGTATAATCAAAAATCTTTGTGACTAAGCAGGTTTAATACGTTGCAATTTTAATAAATAGCAATGTCATTGTTTCGATAGCATTCTTATCTATTATGTCCTGTTGGTTACTCTCTGTATTATACAGGATGTTAACAAAATAGTGTATCTAACTATGGTGGGTGAGTCTACAGATAAAAATAAAACAAAAAGATTCTCTAAACATATGCCCTAAAATGATTGCCGAAGAAGTTACAGCCCCTCAAAAGGTTAAATAAAAATAATATAGGTATGTATTTTGTTTTTAAGAACATTAGTAAACCGTTTTTCTTAAAATTTGATACTCTTACACACATTTCAATTCCAAAGCAAATGACAATTGTGACAAATTCCGTAACAGCCCTGAAACGGTACTTTCCATTAGGGTAGAGAGTACTACTGGTAGTTCTTTTATCCTTATAGATACATAGTAATTTCAACAAATGATATAAAAAGCTAGAACTTTTTTACGTGAAACAGGTGCTCTTCATTTTGTTCGATAAGGTGAACGGTTTTCAAGATATTTCCGTTTGAAGATTACGATGCATCGATTTTAGTATCAGTTAAATGTAAAGAAATTTAAAATAAATTAATCTCATGATTTCGCTATCGATGTACTTAAACAGCCGTTAAACGGTATAGCCTAATAAAATACCGTTAATAGATATTGTGATTTGTGATGTCGTTCATGTCGGCGAAAAGTAATGCCTGGCTATAAGCATTTTGCAAGAGCACCTGTGGCTATCGTTTCGTGAGCGAATGGTCCGTGGTTCAAATCTCACGCCGACGAACACTTTTTAATTTTTTTTTTGCTTATAGCGTGATCTTATTGCATTGGTTTCACTATTTTTGGTTGGATTGGTTAAGTTATTTGGCGGGTTGGTTAGCGTGGTTATTTGGAGGGTGTTAATTCGTTGGTTAGTTGGTTATTTGCTGGGGTTAGTTGGTTTTTACTAATTTATATTTGTTTTTTATATTTTTTTTATCAGTGTCGAGGTTAGTTGCGTCGGTTAAGTTGGTTATTTGGTGGAGTCACGACGACACATCAACGACGTCGTACCTATTAACGGCATTTTAGTAAGCTACCGTTTAACGGCAGTTTAAGTACAGCCTTTCGCTAATGCTAAAATCGATGTATCGGAACCATTAAACGCAAATATCTTGAAAACCGTTCACTCTTTCGACTAAACGAAGAGCACCTTTTTTACATAAAAAAAACTTTAATTTTCATTTATTGAAATTGCTGTATCTGCAAGGATAAAAGAAGTACCACCGGTAGTACTCTCTACCCTAATGGAAAGTACTCTTTCAGGGCTGTTACGGAATTTTACACTATCGCCATTCGCTTTGGCATTAAAATGTGTGTAAGAGTACCAAATTTCAGTAAAAACGGCTTGTTTGTGTGCTGTTTTATGGACTTTTTGTTTTATTTTTGTCTGTAGAATCACCTACCGAAGTTATATTATATTCCATTTTTTTGATACCCTGTATAATGTTGGCATACTTAACCCCCAGTGACGTAACTTGACAACTCGGGGCCTCGGTGGAAGATATTTTTGGGGGCTCCTGAATAAAGAACAAAACCAAAATAATGTATATTTTTTATTAAATATTTTTCTTGAAGGGCTCTGCGGGGCTCTAAGTTCCTTTGGAGCCCTGGTGCTTCGCACCGAAGCGCCCTAGGATAGGATAGGTTAGCTAAGATTCTAGTATAGCTACGTCCCTGTTAACCCTTTTCACGAACTTTATTTAAACAGTTTTACATTTTAATTACCTTTTTGATTTTTTATTTATCGCATTAAGTACCAGTATTTTTATAGTAGGTACCTATAGAATTTTAAAAATAACAGCATACTAGAGCCAAACAAATTTATAGTTATAGTAATAATTGTAAAGTATTTTTTTGAAAGCGATGAATGTATTACATGGATATATTCCTTGCCTGATAATATGCATAATATAGTCCGTCTAGAAAGTATCCTGAAAAAAGAAAGCAAAATTACAATTATATACGATATATATTAGGATATATATTTTTAGGACTTGAGTTAAAAAAATTATAACAAATTATTAATTTTATTTACTTATACAATCTCCATTTAACTCCAAACACTTAGCTAAACGTCCAGGTACACCCGAAACTAGGTCCACACCATAATGATCAGTGGCAGTGGTCCAGGCCTGTAAAACTGAGCGAATCAAATCTTGTTTATTTCGTGGAGCTGCTCGTTCCACTTCACTTTTCATTAGTGCCCATATGTTTTCAATGGGACTAAGGTCTGGTGAAACTGCTGGCTATGGAATTGTTGCCAAATGGTGTTCTTGCATCCAATCTTGAGTATAAGCAGACGTATAGCATATTGCATTATCCTGCTGAAAACCATTTAAAATATCAACTAGGTATACACAGAGGTGTAGCACCACGCTGAGATATTGCTCCCTAAACCATTATTTTAGTGGGAAATTTTGAAACTTGAACGGTAACATTTTGTTCTGATAGGATTTTTAGGTGGTTTCCACCAAGCTGGAAATAACTTTCGTCAGAAATAAAAACATTATTAAAATTATCTTCTTGAAAACGTTGACAAGAATCCATTCTTCGCTGTCTTTGTAGAGGTGTTATTGCAGGGATTTTTTTGGCTTCCTTGATATGTAGCCTTGTCTTTTCAGTGACATGCGGACCGTTTCTGGACACACTTTTAATTTTCGCTGACTTCCAAATCTGTTAAGCGCGGATTCTGTCGTCCTAATGCCACTAAAGCGTTTAAATTGTTTTCGCGAATCTTGAAACTGGTCCATGCTTCATATCTGTTCTATTTTTATCATCTTTATTGTCTCATATACTGCACTTTTTCCGAGTTCAGTAAATTGCACTAACTTTTTAACGTTTCGAACACCTTTTCTATACAAATATTCTACCATTTCTCTTTTTTTACTTGCGACATTATTTCTCAAATCTTAAGCCGGTTTACAATCAACAATATACCACAACCTACGTGATGGACTACTGTTGTCTTAGAGTGTTACAGAAAAAAAAATACATTAAAATTAGGAAAAATATAAAATTCCGGATATTTTCTAGACGGACTATACTTTTTTTTTCTTTAGCTGATGGATACATCCAGCCAGAATTATACCCAGTAGTGCCCAGACAGTACTCAAACAGTACCGACTTGAAAATTGTTTCTGGTTCCAACGCCGTCAGAAACCAGTTCCCGTATCAAATTTCTCTACGTGTTGTTTCTGGAAATGCCCTCTTTCACATTTGCGGAGGTTCCATCCTCAGTCAAAGGTAAATCAAATTATATGTATATATGTTACGGTTAAGGTTTGATGTCCAGTTAATGTCGACATTACCCGGTTAATCTCGAAAATAACACACAACAAAACAACCAAAAACATAACCTAACCCAAACATTAACATGTTAATGACGACATTAACCGGACATCGGACTTTAACCGTAACATATACACTAGGCAACACATTTTAGTACACTGGTGGTACCTAGTATAAAAAGTATATTTCTTAGCTAATTTTAGGGTGCTGAATACAAAAATAATAATGAATGTTGTAATTTTCAAAAAAAAAATCATAACATAAGAAAAAATAGATACCTTTATATTTCATTAAAATAATTCATTAATTGTCACTAAAAGCGGCGTCTTTTTACAATCATTTCGTGAACTATGCCCATGCGTTTCCGAGTAAAGTATTTAAATATTTTAAAAATACTTACTGCTTTGGATTTAATATTTTTGCATCTCTATTTAAATAAGATGAGCTTTTTATTAAAGTAATAATTAATAATTATTAAAGTAAATTAATTTATTGCATATAAACTACTCATCAAAACAAATTATCGCATATTTTCTAAAGAAAATATTAATTTGAAAAACAAAACAACTTGAATTCTCTGACTTACGTTTTTAAATAGTTTGGATACTGTAAAAGGAAATATTGGGAAGTAAGCTTGGGGGTGACATGCAATTTTTAGTCGACCGACTATTTAGTTGTAAAAGTGAAAACAATACATACTTATGGAACCGATTTGCAATTAAATAGTCAGCCGACTAAGAATTGGCTGTCAGCGCATAGCCTAATAATCCCAAAAAACTCGCAAGAGAAAAGCAGAAAAACGCTTCATTTAGAAATATGTAATAATTACTTTTTTTTCAAATATGCGGTAAATGTTTTGAGTAGTGTATGTTTCTGGTGGAGCTTTAAAGGGTTTAATAAAAGTTCTGGCCCATGGAAGTGTCTGATACTTTTGATACAGCTTCAGAGTAATATTCTACAATATGGGTCCTAAAGGAAGAGCCAATTTATTCTATCATCGGTAACTATTTTCCAAATGCACTGTTTTTTATTTTTCATATCAGTGTAATATAGTGGTATTACATTACACTTTATTTCATTCATACCCCATGTTTGCTTATTTTTCTGAAGCCGCCACAAAGTTTCACCTTGTTTACTTCGCGAAATAGCACAAAGAATATGGACGCGTGTTATACATCTTTTGTCGAAACTCGCCGAAAAATTTCCCGAGACAATTCCAGTAACAATAAAAAAACAACAACCAATCACGGCTTGTCTCGGCCGACTTCGAGCTATTTCGGAGTTTGCTGCCGAGGCAAGCATTCCCCGCTACATAAGAAAAGCATTGGGTTTACTTCTGGAAGTATTTCAAGAAATCTTCTTCTTCCTCTAGTACAAATCCATTAATGGATGTTTGCGATAACATTTTCCATTGCTTCTCTGTTTCTGTCGGTGTTTACTAACGACTGTACATCGTGTAGGCCAGTCCACTCACCTCCACATTCCTCAGCCAAGACATTTTCTTCCTTCTGATACCCCTCCGGCTTTCGATCTTGCAAATCAATTCAAAAAATTCGTGCCGTTTGTTGCCGTCTCAGAACTTCTTCATTTGTTAATCAAGCCGTCCAAGGTATCTTCAGGAGTCTGCGATATAGCCACATCTCGAAAGCCTCTAGTTTATTTCAAGAAATGCTTCGCGATATATTTCACGAAATATTTCATGAAATATTACGGGCATAGTGTAGAGGGTGTTTGAAACTTGAGCTGGTTTAAAAATATATATCAAAGATTCCTTTAATTTAAATAACTCTGCAATTTGAGTTCATGAAGTGGTTGGAAATAATGTTGAAAAATTTAGTGACATAGATACATACATACCGGAGGAGCAATTAAAAAAGTGTTAAAAATAAATTTAAAATTCTAGATGGGTTCTTTCGGCTGCTCACTGCACGCAATATGCTGCTAGTCAATTAAGGGTAACTGCCGGTATCTTGTTGCAAACTGATTCTGGAATTGCCAACCAACAAACTGTCGCTGTCGCCAGTTTTGTTAACCATGCTGGCTACCCAGGGTAAGTAATATATTTTTTAAACAATTTGAATTAAAATAATATCCATATTTTTAATACAGAGGCAACGTTGTTGCCGCTAACGACATCTCCGTGATCCGTCTGGCCTCTCTCCTTACCTACGGAGTCAACGTACAACCCATTGCCCTTCCAGTTGCCGGTGCTGTTCCTAGCGGTACTTCCGTCGTCTCTGGATGGGGATCACTTGGACCCCCCACTAACGCTTCGCCAAACAACCTTCAATTTGTTAACGTCCCAATTTTGGCCAAAGACCGTAAGTGATGATGTTATAATTAGAGATACAAACAAATCGCAAACTGCGATTCAATCGCAGGAGTTTTAAAATCGCAATGGCAACCTGCGATTGGCCCTCATAGGAAACTGCGACTGCGATTTCTTCTATTTGTGAGTTTCAATTTAAGCAACCAATATTACTGTAGTTGCGAGCTGCGATTTTGCTGCGATTGTGATTTTGTAGGCTAGGACCGTCATAACCTTCTATCTGCGAGTTTGAAATTTAAGGAGTTGCGATTTTGTTGCGAATGTAATTTTGTGGTCCATTGAAGCATTTTAAAGTAAACTGCGACTAATTTTTTTCTCTGATTTTAATTATTTATAGAGAAGATATTAGTTTCTAGGGCCAAGATCATAATATACCGGGTGTTTCTCAAAAGTGGTTTGTCCCTATAACTTTTTAATTTTTTCTGATAAAAAAACGAGATTTGGTATGTTAGCGTATGACATAAATTAGGATTGATTGATGTATTCAATTCGTTTCGATCACTTCCTGTTTCACCGGAGATGACTACAACTTTTGATTTATAAATGGCACCCTCGGTATTTTTTTACTTTATGCGATAGAAAATGACACTCTGAATGGCAAGTTGACATATGATAGTAAACTTTTGACATTTACACTTAAAAATCAATCTAACTAACTAACTAAAAACACTAATTTTTAATCACGGTTTCTTGAAAAATATTTAATTGCCTATTGTTTTTCGTGTGTTCTCCTGGCCGATTAAAAGATGCCCAAATCGTATTTTTAATCATGTCTTAATGTTTTCAAATGTAATTAAGGTGGCTCATTAGAATGTTTAAGGAAAAGCACCAATTGCTTTTTTTTAAACATGCTAATTTGGAGTCAAATTGTCAGATGTTAAAAAAACTTAAAAACTAAACAACTGATTTTTGTTATTTTTAACTGTTAAACTATAGGTACATACACAGACAATTATATATCTAGTACAATATTTAAATATTAAAATCGCAATCGCAGGTTACAGTCGCAGAGATTTAAAAATCGCAATTGCAGTTTCAATTGCGAATGGAGAATCGCAGTTTTGCTCATCTCTAGTTATACTAATTAATAACATATAAATTGATAATGACATTAAATTTCTTAGAATGTGCCAATGTCATCAGACAACTTTCTGGAATTATCAACCCCTTCAGATCTGCTCTTAACGTGTGCACAACAACCCGTGCAGCTTCAAGTATCGAAGCTGTCTGCAGTGGTGACAGCGGTGGCCCATTGGTAGTCAACTCTCGTGTGGTCGGTATTGTTTCCTGGGGCTACAGTCCATGTGGAAACGCTGGATTCCCATCTGTATACGTCGACACTGCCGCTTACATTGCATGGATCTTGCAAAACACTAACAACTTGTCTAATTAATGTAAAATGTGCTATAGTCAGTTAAATTAATAAAAGCTGTGTATACTGAAACAATTTTATTCCTAAAATCACAAAAATAAAGACAAATTAAATACATATTAAAAATTATTCTTCTGATTTTTTTAATACGGAATATTATTGAAATTATTACTCTAGCAAGAATATAACAACAGAGGAAATTAGATATAGCATTAGAGAAATACAATACTAGGTATATCGGATGCGTCTCATAAGTGGCTCACCCCTATAACTCTTTTATTTTTCCAGATAATAAAGCGATATTTGGTATGTTTTTTTCCCTAACAAAAGGTCACCCTCTGCCGTAAACACATAAATAGACATAAATTAGGATTGATTGACTTATTCAATAATAATTGTTTTCGGTCACTTCCTATTTCACCGGAAATGACTACAACTTTTGATTTTTAAATGGCACCCTCGGTATTTTTAGTCGACCATACCAACAGGTATGGTAGGCTATTAAGATCAGCAAAAAAAAGTTTTTTTAATTTCACTCAAAATCAAAATAAGTTATTTAGGTCATAAATGACCTAAATACAAAATATTTTCATGGTGTCTGTCTATCTGTCCGTCTGTCTGTCTGTCTGTAACACGATAACTCAAAAACCGCTAAACCAATTTTAACCAAATTTGGCACAAAAATACTGTGGCACCAGATAATCTGGCTATTAGTTTTTGGTGGGGATGGGGGGTTAGTAAGGGGGTATGGGAAGGGGTTAAAAATTTAAAAAAATCGTAACTCCAAAATTACAGTAGCTAGCGAACGCGGTTTTCAATTAAGATTAGGAATCATATTTGCAACAAAATTTGTAATAACATCAAAATCAGTCAAAGTCGCAGTTTTTGAGATAAAAAAAAATTGGAAAAATTCCTTTACTTTGAAACTAAAAGAACTGCCTAACAACTTTTTATTAACATATTTTACTATGGAAGGCTATACGTGCCTCCCGGCGCCAATTTTTTTACTTTAATCGATAGAAAATGAAATTCTGAATAGAATGACATATCATATGTCAACTTTTGGCATTTTTTCCTAAAAAAAATCGTATTTTAAATTTCAATCTAGAGTGCCATGGCTATGTTAAAAACACTAATTTATATTCAAGGAGGTTTGGAAAAATAGATTTGATGCGTTTAGTTTCTTGTCCGTATCCAGTACCCAAATCGTATTTTTAATCATATCTTAATTTTTTCAAATGAAACGAGGGTGGCTCATAGACATATTTGGAGAAAGCATTTTTTAAGAATATCTTGATACCACACACTTGGATTTCGAGTCAAACTGTCGTTATGAACCGCATATTACAATTTCAAATAAACCATATTTAAAAATGTCAAAAGTTGACATATCATATGTCATTCTATTCAGTGTCATTTTCTATCGAATAAAGTAAAGAAATACCAAGAATGCCTTTTAAAAATCAAAAGTTTTAGTCAATTTCGGTGAAACAGGAAATGACTGAAGGCAATATTGAATACGCCAATCAATCCTAATTTAAGTCATTTACTAATATGCCAAATCTCCTTTTTTTATCTGAAAAAAAAAATAAAAAAGTTATATGGGTGAGCCACATTTGAGACGCACCTGGTATACAGGGTGAGTCTTGAATAGGTGCAAATGTTTTAAGGGGTAGTATATTTCGACGCCAGAAACACGATTATGAACTTTAAAACGTGTTTACGTTTTTAGTTAAAAAACATAATTTGTTGATAATATGTATATGGCAACATAGGTAGTAGATTAATGTCGAAAAATGCAATAATTTCAAATTCAGGAACTGAGAGGGACAATCTATGGACAAATCTATGTGTACCATCTTTAGTTCCGTAAAAAAGTAATGTAAAAATCGAGCCAAGAGTTGTTCTGATAAGGAGGCTATAGCTGCCTGTAAGTCTCTTGGACTGAAAAATGTGGAAATTGTTGTGGGAGAGAGTGCGGGGAACATGGCTTCATATGGAGCCGTTGATATATTATGGACGCAGAATTCGGATGAGGCAAATGGGCGTTATTTGCTAGCTAGACTGAGGGACCCTTCCATATTAAAACCTATTCGGCTATTCCTCGCCTATCTCCATGATCAACCCTCAAGTGTGTGTTTTGAAGGGCACACTAACACCAGCATCAAATTATTTATGGCCTCAGAGGGTGGAACTTCCTACGCAGGGACTTCCTAGAGGATTCCCTGCGTAGGCTATATTATCGCTTCCACAACGTCTATGGTATTGACTCAGCTGAAGTGGATGCGGATCTTTCTGCCTTCAGGTCCTTCTTTTCAACGGAAAAACTTCAACAGCTTCAAAGAATTAGGGAAAGTTATACAAGTATTTCTCTAATGGCTCTCCAAATAAAAATATTTTTTTAGGTGACATGACGCGAACAGAAGATCAAGCACCCTCTGAAAAACTAGACGATAGCAAGCTTAGTGTTTTTTTAATTAATATTCAGTCCTTAAGACATAAAACGGAAGATTTATATCTTTTATTAGAAGAGCTCAATTTTCAAGAAATTGTTGCCATAACAGAACATTGGTTAAATATGGATGAGCCTGTATTTGTCACGTTGAGATAAACGAGAAACACTGTTAAACACACAAAAATGGAACATCCTATTACAAAGTAGGTACAAAATTTAATTTCATACAAGTTGTGTTTTTTTATTTTTTGTAGTTATTGTAAAAATAAATTGTTTTATTCTTAAGGCGGACTCTGACGACTCGTATAGTTGACAAACATTTTTCATTGACATAGAGGAGTGCATCGAAGCTCCTATAATAAATAACTTAGAAATTTTTTATATGTGCCCGACACACTATTGTCGAACCCTGTATACCAATAACAAATGTTTACCAAGTATAGAGTTGCTAGAGTCCGCCTATACAGGGTGGTCCGAACTGTATTCCGGAAACATCGGCAGCATATTCTATACATTAAAATAAGTAACAAAGTTCGTATAAATGTATGTCCTAAAATGCTTCGTTTCGGAGATACAGGGTGTAGAAGTTTAATTTTATTTATTTTTTTCCAAATAATTTCTGAAGTAACGTCAATATTTGGATGAAAATTGGCGTCTGGGAGTTTTTTGACATGATAAATTTGATTTTAATATCAATATGACTCCTACTTGTAGAGAGCGCCACATACATATATTTTAACTGGTGTAAAGAGTAATAACTTTTCGTCTGTACCTGTATAAAACAACTGAGTATAAGAATATATATCTACGACGTTTTTTACTTAGAAAAGGTCTCTTGGTAAAAATCGTTTCGAGTAATGGTTCTCGAGATATTTGGAATCGAAATTATCAATACCTGTCGTCATTGACATACATTAAACATGTTGACTAAATAGTTATTAGACTGAGATCATAAATTTGAAAGTTTTTGTGCCAAAAGTTCAACAAAAAATGTTTAATCATCATTTTTTTGCAGAAAAATTTATGATTGATTTTGGGAAATAAAAATTTCCCAAAATCATTATTTCAGTGAAATAACTATCTACTCAACGTGTTTATTTTTCGTCAATAATGACATGTAATGGCTATTTCCATTCTAAATATCTTGAGAACAGTTGCTCGTAGCGACTTTTACAAAGAGATATTTTTTACTCAAAAAGTCACAGAGATGTATATTTTTTACTTCGGTAGGTTTTATACAGGTACGGACAAAAAGTTATTTCGCTTCAAAACAGTTAAAACACATGTAAGTGGCGCCCTCTGCCAGTAGGAGTCATATTGACATCAAAATCAAATTTCTCATAAAATTCCCAGACACTAATTTTCATCCAAATATTGACGTTACTTCCGAAATTATTTAGAAAAAATCGAAATAAAAATGAAACTTCTACACCCCGTATCTCTGAAAATGAACATTTTATGACATACATTTATACGAACTTTTTTAATTATTTTTATCTTCAGAATATGCTGTTTCCGGAATACAGTTCGGACCACCCTGTATATTTACCTACAATATAATAATAATATAGTTATATGATATAAAGTAAAATAAATATAAATAAGTAAAAACAAAGTAATAAGAAAATCGGTAATACAACAAAATTAATACACTCAGATGTAAAAAAAACGCAACAAAGAATTTTAGGTCAAATTTAAAATGTTATATTTTTGTTATTTTTAGCCCTATTTTCATGATTTTTTTAGCAAACTGTATATAATTATGTCAACTTTAATTCGTAAACTCAGTTTTTTATAAACTTTAGTAATTGATTTATTATACAGGGTTAATCGAGGGGTTGTTTTTTTATCCTAACTTTAAAACACCCTGTGCAATAATTTTGTGTGTAAATTTTCCTAAAATATAATTTTATGGTGAGAACCATGTTTCCTGAGCAATAGCATTTCGTTTTTTGGATCATGTCCATACATGCTTTGGTTAATTTTTAAGAGCGAAATGAACTGACCACGATCAATTTGCAATTTTCTCAATTATCATTACTTTTGTTGTCATTTTTTAATATAACGAGATGGTTTTGGTGACTATTATCATAACGTCATATTACGCTGCATTGGACCTATACTAAATTAAAAAAAGACGTTAAAGACTAACGATATAGTCCTGTTTTTAATAAACATTAATAACGATAACAGAACTAACAATCATAAACAGAAAAAAAATGGTAAATAATACCCTAACACTTTGTATTGCCTCCCCTGACTGCTACAACTGCATGTGTACGTCCGTTCATACTGTCATTGAGGCTGCGTATATCATATTGCGTAATGCTTTCCCAGTCTTCTTTAAGAACCAAGCGAAGTTCATTTAATGAAGCTGGTACCGCTTCGCGACCTCTAACCCTTCTGCCAAGCATTTCCCAAACATCGAACATGATGGGCAGTTCATAGTAGCATATATTTCACAATAATCACCAAAGCTGCCTTGTCATATTGAAAAAAAAAACTTAAAAAATAAATTATAATTGAAAAAATTGCAAGTTGTTGGTGGCAAGTTTATTTCGCTCTTAAAAATTAACCAAGGCATGTATTGACATGATCCAAAAAACAAAATGCTCA